GTCGAAAATAGCCCTGTCCTGAAGAGTCGTCCTAGCTTTGTTTTCTTTTTGGCCCAATTCGTTCGTTTAGGTGTGCGTCGATTTTGCGAAGGCGATCGGGTGTGTATCTTGGTAGAAAGATAGAGAATCGGCTGGGCGTTGAACCTGTTGGGCCGAGGGGGTAACGTCCGCTCGTCTGTCCGTCCCGGCGGCTATGTTTAGTCGCTCTTTTTACAGAACACCGCTCCGCGACATCGGAAGGGAACCGGAGGCCGTTGGCCCGGGGCCGGCTCGTGCCGAATCTCCCTGCGGGACCGGGATCTTGTTCCGCGGGGGGGGGGTCGGCCGTTACGTTCGCGTTTCCGGGGTCCGTCGATCCTCGCTTTGCCGAGTCGTCACAGCCGGGGGAGGGCACGGCGGAAGAGGTCCTCTTAGTGCGAAATGCGCTCTTTGTTCCCTGTCCTGATCGGCTTCGGCCCTTTCCACGGAGTCTCTTGTCCAGGCCCGGTAAGCGTTTTCTTTGAATGCCATGCCGACGATGGCCAGATACGATAAACACACCAACCGTCATCATCACTTTTTTTATATTGGCCTTGTGCTCTTTCCGCTTGCTCTTGACCAATGTCTCTATCACAGTATCAAATAATTTCTTAGTCAAATTTTAAAAAGTTTAGGTAACACCTAATTTAATGTCGCCCTTTTATTATTGCTGCTCGCTATTGCTCCATAGTCTTACAAGGGACGACCAGGTGGGTAGGTCACTGATTTAAACCAAACTTTTTTTGGTGAATCTATACTCCAACTTACCGGGCATGTATACGCACTTCTTGTGAATAGGCCTTGGTTGCGCCTTTTTTACTTGCTCAAATCAACTATGTGAATATATCATTTTACAACATTTGTTATGTAGATTGCAAAAAAATATTATAATTTGGTATGATTTAAAAAGATAAACATCAAAATATTGTATCAAAATACTGTTGTTTTTTTTTTGCATATTTCAATAAACATTCCGTACGCAAATTTGGTCAGAAAATTGTCAAAACTTGACCTCATTGTAAGATTCGTGATTTTAGCGTTAGAAAACCCTTAGATTTCGACTTTCGCAGAAATCGGTGTAAATTAATTTTTTGATTTGATAATTTCGCCTACCCCCCCCCCCTCTAACATCATTTTCCCCAAAAGCTACTGATCGATTTTCATGGTTGAAAATTCGTTTTAAAGAAATTGTCAAGTGCATTTTTTAAATGTATAAAACATTAAAATGGGACCATTATTTCCATTTAAAAAAAGAGGTTAATTTCTGACAAATAATTTTGCTATTTGATGTATTTTTTTATAGAAATATTTTACATATTGTAATGGTACATACCTCTTTAAAAAGCTGCGTTTCTCTTCTTTCAAATAATCTGTTTGACGTTAATAAATTCCTTTTAGCCAATTTTTAATTATGACCTAGTTTAATTTAAAAATATTTTAACTTTTAGAAACTTTTTGGTTATCGATAAATTTTATTACCTTTTACTCTATTTTTATTGTAAACTACATGAAAAATGATGTAAAATGACATATTCAGTCAATTCGGGCAATAGAAAGGAGAAATAAAAATATTAAAAAACAAAAAAAACAGAAGATTTCAACTTTCAGTAATTTGAATAAATTATACTTTTAATGTAAGGTCTTGGTTGAGATGAAAAAGCGAATGTCACGGGCTGTCGTAGCTAAAGTGGTTAGAGCAGCGGTGTATTGAGCCAAGGGTCGTGGGTTCGAATCTCGCTCGTGAAACTAGGTTTTTCATCTCAACCAACGCCTTAGGTTAAAAGTACAATTAATTAAAATAATAGTTCAATTATAACTACTAAATAAATATAAGGAATAATTCATAATTTTTTGGCCTATTCACAAGAAGTGGCGTATAATGCGTCCGATATTTTGGAGAATAGAATTACGAAAAAAAGGTTCGGTTCAAACCTCTGACCATTCTGGACGCCTCCTTGTTAGATAAAAAGATTTTATGAAACATAAAAAAATTAAATAAAATTGATTGAAATCTACTTAACCGCAGAGATCGATGGATGACCTATCCGCTCGAAAGTTCATTGACACTGGCGAATCATCGGGATTTCACAAATGCTTTCTTGTTGTGAGCTTTTCGATAACGATTCCAAGTCATTCTTTATCTCGATTTCATTTTTTTGACGTTATTTCATTAATTTTTTTTTTTTTTTTTTTTTTTTCAACAATGGACATTTTACATCGACGTAATTGAGCAAACCTTAGGGTCCACTCGTGCCAATTCGCGACCACTTTTCCCCGTCCTCGAACTGTTTTAATTCGGCGAGCAAATAGGGTTTGAAGGTCTCTGGCATCGAAAATAAAACGCGTCCTCACCTCACACCCGTCGTTGGCTCAGAGTTGTGTTTATGTTTCAAAAGATTTTCCACCAGGATAGAGTTTTATCACGTTTAGTGGCTGTTAGTTAATGATTATTTGGAGATCGTGAGATGCGGTCTGGTGTGACGTAAGTTTTAGAAAAACATTTTCTTTATTGTGCCAACGTTTCGACCTTTATTGAGATCATCATCAGTGATCAAAGTGTTTGGAAGTGGCACTCTCAACACGACACCCAATAATGACACATCTACACGGAAAACAAACACTTTGAGCCCTGAAGATGATATCAATAAAGATCGAAACGTTGGCACGATAAAGAAAATGTTTTTCTAAAACCTACATCACACCAGACCTCCAAATAATCCTCAATAATCATCAAGTAAAACACCACACATTTTAACTTAAAGTTAAATGGCTCAATTTTTCAAGTCTTGAGGTAGCGATGTTTCTTGGTTTTTGATACCAATCTGTGATCAATGTGCCATCTGGTTGTTTTATTACGAATGTATCTAGAAACGGTATTGTTTTGTTGTTTTCGATAGGCACTCTCAACACGACAGAATGACACATCTACACGGAAAACGAACACTTCGAGCTCTGAAGATGATCTCAATAATGATCGAAACGTTGGTACGATAAAGAAAATGTTTTTAAAACCTACGTCACACCCGACCGCATCTAACGACCTCCCAATAATCATATATACTACACACATTAACATAATTTAACAAGATTTTGTTGGATTTCGCACATTTGTTCAGATAAATATTTTGTTGCAAGAACAGGAAAAGTATTCTATATTTTCTTCGGTATAACCGGATTTTCCTGAAATTTAAGATTGAAAAGAGTTCTTTATCAAACCTGGAAACACAACGCGAATCGGAGATCATTCGCACATTAGTGCAAATCCGGAAAGTATACCTTTCGTTTTGTGCCACACCAAGTTAGAAAGGGGGACAAGCCCGTTGACATATTGGAACGTACAACGGACTCTTTATTATCAATAGAAATATTATTTAAAAAGAGAGAAGTAAAATGTGAGTTAAAAAAACAAAAGCCACAAACTAAGTCATAAATGGATAAGACAGGCCAAAAAGAACAAATCAAAACATAGACACTAACTTGTTGAAGTCATGAGGTGCGGTCATATTTTAGAAAAACACCTTAATATTTTTTGCCGACGTTCCGACCTTTATTCGGGGCATCTTCAGGGCTTGGGTGAATTACAAAACATATTGCAATTGTATTGGAAAAAATACAATACAGATATAAATATAAATTTTGAATCAAGTATTTCATACTTTATAAAATATGGTGCTATTCTTGTCCTGTCATATTTGTGGAACGTAAATTCCACATTCTGCTGTTTTTTATATGATTGTGACTGGGTGGGGGACGCGGTAAATCTGGTAAATTTTATTTGATCGTCATCACCCTGTCACAATCATCACAAACTAAGACAAAAATCGACAACACAGGTTCAAAAGAACAAATCAAAACAGACAATAATTTGCTGAAGTCATGAGGAGCGGTCATATTTTAGAAAAACACCTTAATATTTTTTGCTGACGTTTCGACCTTTATTCCGGGCATCTTCTGGGCGTAGGTGAATTACAAAACATACATTGAGTGGAAACAATACAATGCAAGATGTAAATATAAATTTTGAACCAAATATTTCATACTCACTTAAAGTTTGGTGCTATTCTTGTAGCGTCATATTTGTTTCTTGTGAAATTATTGTAAAACTTGAATTTGCATTATGCTGTTTTTATATGATTGGACCGGGTGATGATCGTTTATTTCTTAAATATCATCAAATTACTCGCCTTTTGGTTTTATCGCGATTACAGAGGTCATTTTTAAGAATCATAACTGGTAGTAGCTTGGATCTATCGTCCTTAGTGAAATGGATGACAACTTTTGGCATTAGTCGAGCAGAATAGGTGTTTATTTCTTAACTATCATCAATTTCCTGTATGTCTTGACCTTTTGATTCACGATTAAAGAGGTCATTTTTAAGAATCATGACCGGTAGTGACCTAGGTCAGCACCTTGTGGAGGACGTGCTCGTTAGTTATTCTTAGTTAGACTAGTGGAACAGGCGATTCCTTTGCGTTGAAGGTTGAAGTTATGTGTTGTTTTATCGTCTTATCGAGGGGTCGTAAGGATCTTGACTCGTGTCACGCAACTCCTCCGTTTCGGGGTCAACCGGGCCTTCTCCCTCGGGGGTCGAGTGTCCAACATCGCAACCCTTCATTTTAATTCTTACGAGGTCGGCAATCCCGAAATCAATCCCCGGGCGTTCCAGGACAGCGGCGTACTGTAAAAAAATTCGATAAATCTGGAACCTTTTCGGGTGGGGGATCCACGGCAAGTTCAATGGCTCGAACGGCGAGCGGGTGTCGACGGCGTTGGTCGGGAGGGCTCGGAACTGAGCAATGCCCCCTGGAAGCCCCTCCAACCCCAAGGTCAATCACACCTCACACCTCACCCCTCCAGAAGAAGGCCGAACCAGCCTAATTCCGACCGTCTCTCCATTCTCAACAGCATACCACGCACACTCACGCACGGACCGTTGCCCCGACTCTGCCTACAATGCTCATCCCGATGAACTCATGTTTCAGGTCAAAGTCGTCAAGTTCAGCTACATGTGGACGATAAACAACTTCAGCTTCTGCAGAGAGGAAATGGGTGAAGTGCTCAAATCATCCACCTTCTCCGCCGGGTCCAACGACAAGTTAAAATGGTACAGATACTTTTTTTGTCATATTTTTATTTTAGTAGTCATATTATTGGATAAGAATAGTAATTGATAATCTTACCTTCGCGTATAATTTTTTAAGCCAGAAAATCATCGGAACAGCTATCAGGTTCGCCGTCGGTACACCACGAGACCATATTTCTGAAGTTCTGCGTTCCACGCCAAGACCATAATAATTGTTAATTAAAACAGTTCTTTTTCTAAATCATTTTTTCTCAGAAATGCATAAAACATTTAGAAATTGATCCGGCTCTCATGGGTCAGTGCAGAACAGACAGACCCTTGAGGGGGTCAATAACACATCTGCCAGCGTTAGGGACGAATGTTTCAAGGGCGATTCGCGTAGTTCCGCTTTTTTTACATTCCAATTTTTTTGAGTATAAATATAAATTTTTTAAATTAATAAATAATGACACATCGGGCATATATCACTATTTATACTAACTAACCTAATTGTGAAATTCAATGGGTACTCAGTATTGCGACATCCACCATCTTGCACTACACATTCACACTAATAAATACATTCACTCTCGACACACTAGGGTACACCATATACTATAAAACAATCCCATTCCCTCCAAGAATTGGAACAGGACAGCCAGATACACACTCAAGAACAATTCCAGTTGGCATTATTACACGTTCTATATGGAGCAAAGGAATTGCTCGACTAGGTGGTACCCTTTTATTTGGGGGGGGGGGGACACACATCTCTGCGGAGATGTACAAGAGCTTTAGCCTAAAAGTGTCCATGTTTCAACCTCACACCTTATCCTTAATCGGGCGAGGATGACCTTCTTCTCCCGGGCCACCTATCGACACGAGCCTCTTGATACGTGAAAACTTCTCTGCTGATCCAGCCCACATTCTTTCAAGAGCATTTTTAGCTTCAGAGGCTGGATCGCAGTGGTTAAGTCTGGAGGTCGGGTCATCCTGGCTTTACCTGCCTCGACCGCCACATCTTTTCCCTCCAGACCTATGTATCTGGGTGCCCAGATGACACACGTTGGCCGAAGAAGAAATATATAATATCATTAGGGGGGGGATCCGGCTGAAAATATCCCACACCCTTCAGGTGTGCTCGAGATGTCAATCAGCTCGGAAGGGCCTGTTTACCTTCAGTATTTTCATTTGCTCTTAGCCCTTATTAATTAACCTAAAATTATAAACATACATCTAGTTTGACTGTTTCAATATCTGCATAATTGACAGTCTTGGGATTGCAAAAATTTTGCCTTTGTTTAATAGGAGAATTTTCAATTTAATTTATTATTTTATCTTGTTTTGTTTATGAGTTTACTTGCAATAAATTTGTTTCAAGATCGTTTATTTTTACTTTATTTTATTTAACCTTTTTAACAGAAGAGTAAACTAAGTTTTTTCGTGTTAAATCCATTTTGGGAAAATAAAATTCGAAATGACCCAAAGGGCCGTAACACAATATTATACAAGCTTATGATTTTTTTTCGTCTTGTTTAAAATTGTTTCTTTCCGATTATTTTATTTTATTACATTTCTAAAATACAGATTCTTCTTAATTACATAACAAATCTCATTTTAACTTAGTTCTTCACAAATATTCCTTTAAAGTATGATTATCATAAACTAAAAATTTGTGGGAGCTTATGATAGTTTTTCTAATCTCCACACTCCAAGTAAATAAATATTTCAAATTTGCCAAGTTTTCCCAAAATAAAATAGTATAATCGTTAATGTTGTTGTATATTTTTGTTTCAGGTGCCTGAGGGTTAATCCCAAAGGCCTTGACGAAGAAAGTAAAGATTATCTTTCTCTCTATTTACTCTTAGTTTCTTGCAACAAATCCGAAGTGAGGGCCAAATTTAAATTTTCAATACTGAATGCCAAAAGAGAAGAAACGAAAGCAATGGGTAAGCTACGAATGAACATATTTACGTTTATAGTGATGCATTGATTTTTCCTCTACTCAAATTGTAATATCAATTGGTTGTACAGATAATTATATTTCTATTACAGAAAGCCAACGAGCGTATAGATTTGTTCAAGGCAAAGACTGGGGTTTTAAGAAATTCATCCGGAGGGATTTCCTCCTGGACGAAATCAACGGTTTACTCGCCGACGACAAACTAACAATATTCTGCGAGGTATTTCTACAAAATTTCTACGCGATGGTCGATATTTTTGTCTAACTTTTGTATTTTATTTATCAGGTTAGTGTAGTAGCTGACAGTATCAACATATCGGGCCAGTCGAATGCTGTACAGTTCAAAGTTCCTGAGTGCAGGCTTCCAGATGATCTCGGACAGCTGTTTGAAATCCAAAAATTCAGCGATGTCACCCTTTCAGTCAACGGTAAGGAGTTCCAAGCACACAAAGCCATCCTCGCAGGTAATGTTCTTCACATTTAATTTTCGGTTACATCACCTCGATAAAAAAAACCACTAAAATTTTGACTTTGGTTAAAGCGAGGAGTCCTGTTTTTGCTGCTATGTTCGAGCACGAGATGAAAGAGGGCAAGCTGAACCGAGTAGAGATAATGGACGTAGAGCAAGAAGTCTTGAAGGAAATGCTTAGATTTATTTATACCGGAAAGGCGATCAATTTAGAAAGGATGGCAGATGATCTCCTAGCAGCAGCTGATAAGGTTGGTTCAATTTCTATTACTGATTTTTGACAGAATCCCCTCCTAATATAAATGTTTTATTTGCAGTATGCCTTAGACAGGCTAAAAGTAATGTGCGAAGAAGCATTATGCACAGATTTATCGATAGAAAACGCTGCTGATATACTCGTTCTCGCCGATCTCCATTCAGCGGATCAGCTGAAAGCGCAAGCGATAGAGTTCATCAATACGTACGTCCGATTCCGTCTGTCATTGTTGAAATTAAAATCGTCATTTTAGTATTTTTATTTATTTTATTTCTGTTTAATTTCAGTCATGCGACAGAAGTGATGGAGACGCACGGCTGGAAGTCGATGATATTATCGCACCCCCACCTGATCGCGGAGGCCTTCAGAGCTCTTGCGACCCAACAGATCCCCCCCATCGGACCACCGAGGAAGCGCGTCAAGCAGAGCTGAGTTCAAAACCTCTCTCATCACTAGTTAATCCATACACTCACGTGCCCGCATTCTAATGGACAGAACATTGTGCATGGTCACCGTTGCCCGTTGTATATTAGTCGTTTTAGGGCAAGTGAGAATATGTACAATAGAATCCGATGCGATTCGACTCAGTACAGTCCAGACGACCCTTTGTAATTTTTTTTTTTTTTTTTTGTTTTGTTTAAAAACAAAAATATTTTGTAGTATATTCAGTTTTTTGTATTATTAATTTATATAGTAAAGGAACAACACAAAAATTACAATATATATTTCCCTCTAATTTTCAGGCTGTTATTTGATTATTTTTTGTAAAAAATGGTTTAGAAAAAACCATGAAATTAAATAGTTGGTCTTAATATATTTTGTAATATTTTTTATGCAGTGTTTAGTTTGAGTTTATTTCTGATATCTAGTCTTTTAAAGCTGTGGTTTTCAGCAATTTATATCAAATTATTTCAATTGTGTAAACTCAATTATTTTATTCTAATCACCTTACCTTTAATGCGCTTTTTTTGGTTAGGTTCATTTTTTATGTTGTTTTTGTAAATTAAAAAAAAAAAGAAAATCATCTTTATGATGTTTATTTGTGATATTCGTCAAAAATAGGGCACGATGAGTGTATGGCCATTTCTTCAATGTCGAAGTGGTGAGACAGTGAAATAATCAAACTGATAAACATTTTTGGTAGTTAGTTGATATATATATAGGGATGATGTAAATATTCAAAAGAAGATCGATAGAGAGAGAGAAGAAGAAGAAGAAAAAGTGGAAAAAATGAAGACCCCCTCCCCCCTTTGTAAAACGTTCCTGTTATTTAATCGTGTAATGCCACAATCGATGCTGGGTCGGCGGTGCAAGTTTTCAGTCTTGAAATCTGTACGGAAACTGTGATATCTCACGATGTCCCTTCGGCCAGTTGTTTCCACGGATGGCGTTTATTGTTATCTTGTACTTTTTTTTGTTGTAAATAAATAAAATATATTAGAATGTAGGGGGAAAAAAATTGCATGTAATGCTCTTTGTAATTTTGGTTGCTAGAAGTGAGTTGGGACTAAATTTTTTTTCTTTACTTGTTTTTTTTTCTTTTTTTGATCCCCAGACATTTCTTAATACCAAAGTCTTTCATTTCTTTTTTTTTTCTTTATTTACATTACAGATTATTTTTGAATCTTTTTTTTTTCACAAAAAAATGTGTGAAAAGAGGCGCCACCCCACCCCCAAATCTAAATGCCATAAGTGTTCTGTGATATGCGCCAGGACCATGTGTGTGCTTTAGTTAATTTCATGTGTTCACAACAGTTGGTTTACAATTATAAATAGATTTAAGTGATTCATTGTTAATTAGCTTTGTTTAGAAGTGCGATTCACTCATAAAGGGACGATTTTATTCTCTTATTGGCGTTTAAAAAACAATTTATTGATTTAAAAAAATAATAAAGAAAAGTATTTCAAGAGAACAAAATCAGACTCATTCAAGAAGGAAAAAATACAATTGTTACCTCATTTAGACATTTATGTTTGTAATGTAAGTTATGTGTATTTAATTTTTAAGGTATTTTTAAATTGCTACATGTCCATGAAGAGAGTTCTTTGAAAGAAAAAACCTATAGTTGTCTACTAGAATGTAAAAAAAAAATTCACTGCATTTCTTTTTAAATTGAATGTAAAAAAACCTTTCTATCTCACTGAAACAAATGCTTTTAGATGTCGCTTCTTTAATGTAGATAAAATTATGTTAAAAGAAAATTCTAAACTTGGGACTCAATTACATGTTACTAGAGTCTAAAAAAATGGTGTAATATGTTATTAGTACATAATATGTCAAAAGAGCTTAATTTGTGTTTAATTGTATATTGTAAAACGGTTTCTTCCTTGATTACCTTTGACGTTTACCAAAAGTCAAGTGTCATCTATTCCAAGGTTTAATAATAAAACAAAAATCTGTGTTTCAACTATATGTTCCTTCAGAAACCCAAAAATTTTATCTAACAACAATAAACACTTATCATGTGTAACTGAAATAAAATTCTTAGCCAGTGTTGAACATTATGAAAATAGTTTTTAAGTACCTACAGTATGATAGGTGCCTAATTGACGCTGGCCAGAACAGTTACAATGTGGACTAGCAACTCATCAATGGAACAGTCTCAGGTTTGAATTTAAGCAGCCTTGAATTCAAACCCGACACACATAGGCAAAAAAGTGGCCACCCTCTTTTTTTACTAGTAAATACTTGCAATCGTAGTTTTTTGTGCTTTACTGGATATTTTAAAAGAAAAATATAAGATAGAGCTAAATAAAAAATTAAACTGAGTAAAACAATTTTATCAAAAATGTGTGCTGTTTAGTGACCATTAGTTAATGATTATGAATGCAGAAAACAAACATTTTGAGCCCTGAAGATGATCTCAATAAAGATCGAAACGTTGGCACGATAAAGAAAATGTTTTTCTGAAGCCTACGTTACACCAGATCGCTTTCTTAACATAATTTATCAAAAATGTTGCTATTGAAACAATGAATATTACTATAATATTATTCAATTCAGTACAGTCTTTCCTCTTCATTGCACACCGGTTGCTTTTGATGTGGCATTAATTCGATGAGTTTTGCATGTGCTGTGGAATAATTTCATTCTCCAACAGCGCCATTCTTAATTCCTGCAAATTCCCTGGCAGGTTTAAGTAGGGATTATATGCCGGCCAATCCAAAGATTGAACTGAAGTAAGTTCCAAGTAATCGCAATGATCCTAGGTGCGTGCATAGGGCCTTGCATTGTCATGCATAAAAATAAAACAGTTGCCAATTAGTGGCGTAAAAGGAAAAAATCTGATAACACATCTTTATGTATCACACAGCTCTTAGGGAATTCTCGATGAAGATCAAGGTACGACCTTGTATAGAAATGCCTGCCCAAACCAAAACACCACTCGATAGCTCCTCCAGAGTGAAAATGTAACAGGGAATATCGCTCTCCTGTTCTTCTCCAAACCCTCTCGGCCCTCAGAAGCCCTCAAACAAAACCTTGTTTCATCTGAAAACAAGATTTTAGTTCAATCTTGCTCAGACCGATTGATGTTTCTTATGAAACTTAATTGAATCTGTTCCTTGTCAGAAGTTCTAGACCAGTGGCAGGCTTCTCACATGTAATGCTAATGAAAGTCTTTGCCTTACAACTAAACTGATAACTAACTTGTTGAAATCATTGTTTGCCCAACAGCAGTAGAATGTCATAGTGATTTAATACTATAAAACGATCATCTATCTGAGGTGACACGATAGCGACCTTGGACCTGATCCATGGCTTCTTGATTCCAGTATATTGGTTACGATGGAAGACCCTCCAGACAGTTGTTCTGGTAAGCACCCTGGCCACATAGCTTTACTTTTTCCGTCTTCCGATAATGCTATGATGCCAAATCGGCACCACTTAAAAACCATCACTCAAACAAATAAGAAATTTAAAAATGAATTTAAGCTTGGTGATTGGCAGCCGAGGCAGCTCGTAAAGTTTACACTGTTTGGTGATGAATTGGCTTGTGGAATGAAGGGATTAAAAATCTGGTCGACTTTCTGTCGTGAATGGCAACGGATTAAGGGCAGATGTCAAACTTCATTTGTGTCAAACAAGTCAGGTCGGCAGTGTTAACTTACCGGATGAAACCATTTCCTAGCTTTTTGGAAAAGATAATTCTACTCACAAAAGGTGAAAGTTTATTTATTTAGTTTATTAATTTATTTACAGATCGAAATCCACTATAAAAAAAGACATTTTACAATAACAAAAAATATAAATAATATATGTAAAAATACAAATAATATATATAAAAAGAATAAGGACGTATATACATGGTAATAATATAAATGGTAAATATAAATGATAAATATAAAAATACAATTAAAGAATAAAAACTCAACAACAAAAATGAAAGACATAATTACTAACCAAATAAGGCAGAGGAAACAAAATAAAGCTGAAAGACAATTGAAACTACAATAATTAGGTACATATTTAATGAAAATAATGCTCTTTGTAAATATATAATAAGACTAGAGTGCGAGAATTAGTTGAACCAGTAAATGAAATAAATTGTAATAATTTTGTACAGTATGAAATATAAAAGCATTCAACTAAGGTTGTAGGATAAGGTTTTTCACAGATTGCACAGAACTATTGAAGAAGTCAATGCTATTGCAGATGTTGTTACTCTTGATCATCATTCTGTGTAGAGGAGAAGAGAGCATGTAGTTAGAGCTTTGGAATTCAATATAAAATAATTTATAGGTTTTAAGAGAGTACGAAGGGACATGTAGCTGTAGTTGAGAGAGGAGATAAGGACTATCAATGAGATTGTTTAATAATTTAAATACAAAAACAATATCAAAGTAATCCCTTCTTAGTGCCAGTTCGAAAAGTTTAAATTCAGAGCGGATTCCAGGGTAGGCAGAATTCGGAGGAAGATTGAGTTTGTAGGAAAGTTTTTTTAAAAATTTGTTTTGTACAGATTGAAGAATTTTTTGATAATTTAGATAGAATGGGTTCCAAACAGGTGTAGCATATTCTAGTATGGGTTGTACAAAAGCTTTATAAAGATGGACAAAACATAGAGGATTTTTAAATTCATAGGTGTTCCGGATGATGAAACCTAGCATCTTCATAGATCTATTTTTTATTGAAGAAATATGTTCTTTAAACTTGAGCTTTTGATCAAAAAGTACACCAAGATCCTTTACGACCTCAACTCGCGTTAAAAGAGCATCATGGAGAGTATAGAGATAAATAAAAGGTTGTTTCTTATGAGAGAATGTAATTGTGTAGCATTTGGAAACATTAAGAGCAAGTTTGTTATTAGAGCACCAGGTTAGCACATTATTGATAGAATTTTGTAATTGTAAGCAATCAGAAGGAGAAGTGATTATGGAATAGATTTTCAGATCATCAGCAAATAATAAAAATTGAGCAGAAGGGAGAGCAAGATGGATATCATTAATAAATAAGAGAAACAAAACTGGTCCAAGATGAGACCCTTGCGGGACTCCCGAGGAAGCCGCAAAGGGACATGATTTAAATGATTTTATTTTGACTATTTGTTTTCTGTCGGAGAGAAAGCTGGATAACCAATTCAAGATAGTTCCGGTGAAACCATAATCCATTAGTTTCCTTAACAGTATTGTGTGATTTACTTTATCAAAAGCTTTAGAAAAATCAGTATACACTGAGTCTACTTGGTGTCCAGAGTTTATTGAAAGAAAATAATATTCTGTAAGTAGAGCTAGTAGCTCCAAAAAGTGAAGTGCCATACTCACCCCACCTCCACAATTTCTACCATTTCTATTTCTCTAGCTTACTTCAATTTGAGAAGTGGAAACTGAGCAAATTTGTTCCTCACAAATTGATAAGTATCAAGCATCGTTGTCTAAACATGTGCCTTTCAACACGTTCACATCAAGTCAAATCATTAAAAAAAATGATAATAAAAATGAAGAGATAACTACCAAGGGTAGACCCATTAGGTTAGTATAAATTAAATCAAGTAAAATAAATCCCCATACTCTATTCAAGCCTCACTTTCATAAAGCAAGGCCTGAGGAGGATGATAACCTCAACCATTTCCCCCTTTCACACCATGTATAGTTTGGCATGGGGATGAGGTACGGCAGTATGATGGATGGGGAAAAAAGCACTAAGTAGGCTTTTTCACAGGATTGTCACATGCTGTGAAAAATGGATCTTGTTATTAACACCAGTAGGTTGTCACTAAATGATTCTGTGGTGAACCAAAACTCTTCAGGCCAAAGCAATAAGACTCAAGTGGCACTCAAAGACAAGCTTGTCTCAGTGTCACTGATGCCATGAGCACGATGCCAACGGCGACTGTGGAAGTTTTATTAAACTTCCCACCACTTCACATTTTAATCCAAGGAGAAGCCAGAGTAGCAGCCACCAGGTCATTCATAAATGGACAACCATCTGCCATGTAAATAAACAATGGAAACTGAGGGAGGAGATACAGGCAAATACCATTCTAGGCGTGCCAATTGATGCCACTACTCCAAAGTACAACTACTAAAAAGTACAAAGTACTGATACCAGAACAGGAAGAATGCGCCAAAGAAACACCACAAAAGGCAAACTCCTACTGTTATACTGACAGCTCCAAAACTGACAAGGGTATGGGAGCTGAGATCTTCGGGATGAACCAAGACCGAACTGTCAGTAAACCTAGGTAAATATGCTAGTTTTACAGTCTGAAATCATAATGATTGAACAATGCGCCAGAAAAATAAAAAGGTTAGGAATACAGGGCCAAAAGATGGCCATTTGCTTTGAGAGCCGAGCAACACTTAGGGCCCTAGCCTCATGCGAGACAGTGTTTGGAACTGCATGGAGGCCCTGACATAAGTCAGTGAAACTAATGACCTGACCCCTTGCATGGGTTCCTGGACATTCAGGGCATAGAGAACAAAAAGGTTGACATGTTGACCAAAAAGGGGGCCAACATGGACTCTGGGCCCAAAACCCTATTGCTGCTTAGCAGCCTGCCACAAAAGAGGATACATCTTAAAATGACCCTTAATGAGTTCAAAACCTGGTGGAACAATACCACAGGTATGAGGCACGCGAAGAGATTAATAGGACCATCCGCAAAACTTACAAAAGAACTACTGGAAGACAACCGAACCAGGATTGCACCACTGCCACTGCCAGAAAGCACATGCACCGGATAGGAATGCAGACAGAATAAACATTGTGCAGATACTGCCAGGAAGAGGAGGAGATCGCAGAATGAATTTTATGTTTCTGTGGTCTATGTAGGTGCAGGTTCTTGCAACAAGGACAAGAAAAACCACAAGCAAGATCCTACACCAAGGAACTGCTGGCACAGCTGTGGAGGCTGGTTAATAACCTGAAGCTGGCCAGTGAGTTATAATTAACAAAGGAGCACAATAGATCTATTCAGGTCGAGGTGCAGTAGGCCTTGTGGCCGCCTCCTTTATCCCTATCTCCTATCCTTATAGTTTATCATGGGGCCTACGCTGAGGTAAGGCAGTATGGTTGACTTTTTCACAAGATTATCATATGCTATGTGTGAAATGATTGTTGTTAGCAAAGCAGAGCAAGTCAGAATGTTAATAACGTTTTATGATTAATGGCATTAAAATAATGAATGAAAAACTCACAACTTTTCTAGTTAATAGGTATAATTCCCATGTTTGTTTGGTCTCAATTTATTTAAAATAAAAGCCATGTCTGTTGCACATTTTTTTTAAAGGAGTCGCTGTATTGGGTTACTACTGACTTTTAACTGCATGCTCTAGTTGGAAACATCAACAGATCTCCTACACCCTACAGCTCCACCTTTCCTTTTTAGCTAGGACCCTAAAACTTTCGTTTATCCCAGACATGCTGAAAACTGTTCCAAATTGGCTCGTAGCTCCAATAGATTTCTCTTATACAAGGAACTTGATTTTTATTGTTTTAAGATTTTTATTTAATATAAAAAATATGTGCCAAGGAAGGGGAAAAAATAAATTGTCCATGGATACAAAATTTATTTAATACAAATACACCTCTAGACATTAAACCTTATTTACACACTGCAATTGTTCTCTGTCTATATATTTCAAATTAAGTATATTACAAAAGTAATAACAAAACAAATACATTGTGGAAGTGTATTTCACTTAAATTAAACAAATGGTGACTAGAAAGCATTCGTAGAAAATTCCAGCTTCTATGTATTTCAATTCACGATATCAAGAGGGTGTTCGGCTTGTCTGGAAATGTTGAGAGAACGAAACAAAAACAATAAAGAAAAAATGCAAGAAAATACATATGAACACTTTTAGTCCCATTAATCTAAGAAGGCACACCAAATATGATGACCCGGTTAATAATTGTAAACCTTTGTTCGGCTTATCCCCCCCCCCTTTGCAGGCTATACAACGGAACAGTCTTTCACGAAAATTAATTATTTTTCCGGATAATTAATTTTTACTCGGAGAATCACAAGTGTGGCCGGGTAACGTACTGCACCGCCTCAGTTCGTCAAAGCTGTCAAGGCTTCGACAACATCGCCATGGTGTTCACGCAATATTCGTTCGGCTTTAGGCCTAGCAATTTCAAACTCAGATACCTGCAAATAAAATAATTAATTACCAATAAAAAAATCTATAAAATAATCAAGGTTTTTTTAATTTATTTTTTTATGGCCTTATGAACTTTGCATATTAGTGAAGGAACATAATTGGTCATATGTGATGTGTATTCTTTATTGAGAGACTGCTTGAAAAAAATGGTCAGGGGTGATGGTGAGAATCGAACCCACGACCGTGGGGGTCTATGATCCTAGAGTCTATCATTCTGACCACTCGGCTACTGCGGTCCCCTTATATAATTTTTAATTTGCAGATGCTGAACTTCACGAATGCATGCAGCCAAAAAACACTTTGCATACAAGTTGCTTCAACACACCAGAAATTTTATGTTTAGTGAGCTGGCAGTGGTATATATACATTGATGGACAAAATTAACCTTCTGACCTTAAATTTTAAGGTATTTAGGTTTATTTATATTTTGCATAACAAATAGAGGTCTGGTTGTAAAAATAAGACATTTAAAAATAAAATGTTTATTACCTAATTCTAAAAATAAATAAAAAATGCAAAAAACAAATAAAACTGTAAAAAAACCTTTTTGACCCCTTAATTTCCACCTCTGGCAAGAATCACGTCAGTCCTTTGCATTCCTTAGAAAATATTTCTGATAAAATCCTGAGGAATTCTTTCCCATTCATCAAGAACAGCCTTTTCCAACTCTTCTGGGGTGTTAAGACCTGGGATTTGCCATCATATTCGTCGCTTAAGTTGGTCCCAAATGTGTTCGTTCGGGTTCAAATCTACTTCAAACAGGCCACCCCAAGCACATTAAGGTAGTCGTCCACAATATGTGCTCTATGACGCCTGGCATTATAGCGTAACAAGAATCTCTAACTGATTTGAGGGCAAATGGCACATGTTCTTCGATTATGTCTTGCAGGTACCTCTGTGAAGTTTGAGATCTTCCTCGCACAACCAACTCGGTGCGGGCGTCGAAGGAAATCACCAAGAACATCAATGACCGACCATGGAATGCCATCTGAGGAACCAGACATTTCTCTTGAGCATCTCCATATGAAATTAAGCCCATCTTCAAGGTTTAAGGCTAACTCTCACCTCATCTGTAAAGAGAACTCATCCCTAATTTTCCAATGTCCAAACACGATCCAATGTGAATTGAAGCCTGGACATTTTCTGAACTGTGGTAAGAAGAAAGCCAGGCGCCGGGCCCTGGGGTTTTTGTTGAGCTATTTTCTTACGAATCGAAATCGAAACATTTCGGATTTGTCTTATCAGATTTCTTATCCTAATTCCTGTAATGATGCGGTCTCCTATAACCTGATGACAAATGAATTTATTGTCACTCTCATCCTTAAACCTAGGTCGACCCTGTCCTGGCCTTATAGTGTGAAACCCTGTTTCTCTTAAATGCCAAAGAACCCTTCCTATTCCTAAATGATTTATACTCAGCCTCCTGGCAACTTCACGCTGGCTGTATCTTTTCTCTAATAATGTTATGACCCTGTCACTGTCATATTCCCTAAAATGCCTGACTGGAGCCATTAAAAAAGGTTTAATAACAAGAATATCAAATGAAACTAATGAAGGAAAAAGATTAACTGAAAGCAATCTTTAGATGTAGCAGATTGCTACTTTTTGTGCAAATGAGATTAATTCAAAATTCTAATTTAAAAAAAGAAATAAATTGTATATATAATTTAAAATGGGATATTTGCATACATTTGGCTTCCAAATTAAGAATTTTAAAAGGATAAAATAAAGCTTTGGATGGATTAGTTTATGAGTGAATGTTTGGAGTCAGAGCTTTATAACACTCAGAAGGCGTATAGCTTACCTAAGATAGAAGGTTTGGATGTTAGGGCGATTAATATAAAATTTACTTGTTATAATTTCTGCTTTTCGCACGTTCAAAACTGAGCGGCATTAAAAACCAGCGTCTCAGGCATACGTCGCATTGACGGGTTCACTTTTACAATTCATGACGAAAGATGTGGTTTTAGAACTCCTTCAACCTGATGATGAGCTATAACCTCGTCCCGAAGGTTGAAAACAACATACTATGAGTACAAACTATCTTTTTAAAAAGATTGACCTACACACTCACTCCACCATTCAACATTTCTACAAATTGTAGTTTGTGACTGCTGCAGATGATCAATTAAACAATTACTGAAAACTAGTGGTTATGGGAAAACACACTAGTCGGTCTGTCAGACCAACATCCGTATATGAGGGAATGGTACGAGTTAAATAATTTTACAACCTTTGCCTGTAATAATAGTTGCTTTGTGGTTGTAACAAAGCATATTTGAGGAATAATGTATGCCTGGCAACTGAGTTATGTTGTTTACATGGGGATGTATGTTTAATAATTGTAGTGCATAAGATTATCCCTTTTCGCCGTTAAATAACAGAATAATCCAGGGTTCTTACAATAAGGTCGACGTCTTCTTTTTTAATCGCTACTTTGAGGAGTTCTCGCTCTTTGGCCATTTTCTCCGCAACTTCTTTGTTCCGACGGTCGCCGATGATGCTCATAGCCTGGGGGGAGAAGAAAATACATCGTTGAGAATGAAATATAGGAAGATCGAGGGTGATTATTTTTTAAATTTAATAACGGCAACAACGTGTTTCGTGATAACCTAGACACGGGGTTGCGGCGGGCGACTCACCCCTTTGAACTCGTCATTGTCGTCCGTCGAGAAGATCTCCTTCTCTTCCGCGTAGTCGGTGACTTTTTCCAAGTCGGCGGCACCGCTGTCGTGCTTCGCCGACTTCTTCTGGTTCGGGTCATCGTTCGGCTGGCCGTGCTCGTCCGAGTCGCCGTTCACCTCGTTCACATCATCCGCCATTTTCACTGGGACACCTTTTTTCAACCTCCTCGGCGCTCAGCCGGACAGGGCCGCCAATCCACGCCCTTCAAAATCTCGCCTTCTTCCTGCAAACTCATCCGGCTTCCATAAGAAATGCCCAATTATTTTTTTTATGTTAACTATATCAATTCTTAGTCACCTCATGTAATTATTTTATACATATTCTGATTCTTATAGTGCACTTCGAGCAATTCAGAACCCATACTCCAAAAATGTAATTTTTCATTGGACATCAAACAAATTTCTGAAGGAAAGAAGTTACAGAATGTGTCAAAAGAAGCAGGAAAAAACTGCGAATTCTAACAGGATACTGCAAGATAAATAGACATTGAAGAGTTTGCCATTTGGCAAAATTAAAAAAAAAATGAACGGTAGGGATGACCATCATCACATGGCTCCAAGAGACGAAATGAACAAGATGTTTGATTTAACCAAAACTACCAAATAAACCAAAGTACCAAAAAATAATGGGAACGAGAGGGAAACACCTCCTTTAAGAATGGCACCAAAGAAGGATCTAGTACACAGAAGGTACAGGGATAGGAGTATTCCGTCCTGGAACCAAAAACTCAGAACCCATGGAAGTGTTTTCACCAGTATATTTCAAGTTCAAGAACATAGCTATCATGTCAGATAGTCAAGCAGCCATCAAAGCACTAAACTCAAATATTATTAGTTCAAAGTTGGTGTTGAACTGCAAAACCAAATTAAACTTATTAGGTACGCAGAACAAAGTCAGCATCTGCTGGGTCCCAGGACACATGAGAGCAGAAGGCAACGAGAAAGCGGACACCCTTGCAAGGAAAGGGGCTGCTATACCGCTGATTGGACCCGAGCCCTTCTGTGGCATAGGAACCCACACTATCAATGAGTACCTCAGACATAAGAACAAAAAGAAAAAGAACGAACAATGGAATTCACTCATTGGACACAGGCAACCCAAGAATATCCTAACAAATTTTGGAAGGAAAGAAGTTACAGAATGGGTCGAAGGAATAAACTGTGAATCCTAACAGGATTCATAACAGGACACTGCAAGCTAAATCGATACTTAAAGAAGATTGGCATAATCCAAGACAGCACATGCAGATTCTGAAAACAGGCAGAGAAGACACCAACACACCTTCTAACAAACTGCGGTGCTACACTTACCCGCAGAAGGAAGTGCTTTGGGATGTACAATGTGACCATAGAAGAGATTCAACCATTGAAATCGGGATTACTAACCAAGTTCCTTGATGAAATAGGACTACCGATTTGCTTTAGGCAGAGAACGGGGGATACAATAGCTCTTAAAGGGCGCACCCCGACCAACACATCTGCATCTATGGTAGGGGTGTCAGTCTTTAAATTATATATGTCGGCTTCAGCCATACGTTATGAAAAATATATCAATATATTTAATTTTGGTGCATGATGACTATTTTATATCTGTATGAGCTAGCCCAAGTGGAAGAAAAGAACAATATTAGTAACAGTTACTGGTGACTGGTTCACAATTTAACTTTTTAAAAACATATAAACAACCATTTTGTGACTAATTGCTATTTTACAAATCAAAATCCAATTTTACAACAATATTAAACATCAGTACGATAGCGTTAACTCAATTCATTGATCGAGATGTAAATAATAACTGTCACATTTTATTTTAAGATAGAACATTTTTTTAAAATCTTACACATCAAATTGAAAGCAGAATGTTAAAACGTTTAAAGTAAAAAATAAAATAAAAACTATACGTAAAACTGAAGTGGGGAGGAATGGTCAGGAATGAAGTAGTTTAGAAAAACACCTTTTTTTGGCGACGTTTTGACCTTTATTCGGGTCATCTTCAGAGCATAAAGTGTAGTGCTATTCTTGTGGTGTCATAATGGTTTTGTGTCACAACACTTTCACACAAACCAATTTAATACCACCAATATAATACTGAAGCTAGTAAAGGTCGAAATATTCAAAATAATGAAAAAGGTGTTTTTCTAAACTACCTTTCTTGACCGCTCGTCACGATTTCAATAAATTATGATTGAACAGGCCACTAAGAAACCACTCTCAATTTTTTTTTAATTTTTAGAATTACGTTATAAACGCTTTATTTTTAAATGTCTTATTTTTACAACCAAACCACAGGTTAACATTATAAAAATAAAGTTGAGAATAAAAGCCAAACGGATACGCGAATGTTCAAAACGTAATTACACAAATATTACAAAAGAGTAAAAATTTGAAAAATTCCCCGATTTTGACGTCACAAACGGGGAACGGCTCACCGAAGCCGGCAGCGGTCGCGGCGGCTGATAAATGCGTCGGTGTTATTCAGATTTCCGGCCACGTTCTGGGAATGGTGGATTCGCGGATTGTTTTCCGCCCCTGATAACCGCCGCCTCTCGCTTCTCCGCCGGACGCTCATCTTCGACGGATGCCAAGTTAGCAAATGACCCTTCGTCGATGCCGTGGAGAGATGGCATTCCCGAGATTACACCTGATATTCGTAATCTTCGCTTGCGCCCGTTTAGCCGCCTCGGTCGAGCTCAACTTCGAATTACCTGATAATGCGAAAGAATGCTTCTTTGAAGTCATTCCCAAAAATACAACCTGCACCTTAGAATACCAGGTAAACGACTTTTATTTTTTGGATTTTTGATTTGTTAAATTTAAGCGAGAAAAATAAAATTTTCCTCGCCCCACTCACCTTATCGGTTTGTGCGTTTTAATCAATCCGCCGATAGACGAATGGAGAATTCCAACTTGGATCAGCGAGACTTTGATCCTTAAAAATCCAACTAGCAAATATTCTTAGGTTTCTACCTTTTATCACCATTTTCAACAAGATATTAAAAGTTAGGGCCAAAATTTAATTTTTTTTTACCATTATAAAAAACCGGGGTATTTATTTAATCAAATAGTTCCAGGGAAGTAATGCCACCGTCATCGTCAAGAGAACGTGTATTACAACGTGTGAAACATTTCTCAACAACAAAATAACCATAAAATTAAAAAACCTATAAAAATTGATTACTATACACTGACAGGGAAAAATATTAATCAAAGTTTCACGTTTTTTAACATTTAATAATTGAGTCTGTCTAAAAAAGTAAAAAAAAAGGAAATTGCTAAGGAAAATGAAAAAAAGACGGACAGATAAAATTAGTTTTAATTAACATTTCAATGTCACTTCCTCCTCCTTTATTACATCTCAAAGATTCCTCGGCATTCTTTCTACCAGTCTGGAAATGTCTCTTTGCCGGAGGTTAGCCCATCCTTCCCGGAGAGTACTTTCAAGATTGTGCAGTGTATCAGGAAGTGATGGACGTGCTCTTATTCGTCTTTTATGTTATCCCATAAATCTTCTACGAGGTTCAAGTCTGGAGAACAGGCTGGCCAGGCTAAGACGCTGATGTTTGCTGTTGAAGGTACATTTGTACTATGCGAGCGACATGTGGACGGGCATCGTGCATTATAATAGGATTGTCACTGGCTTCATTGACGATATGCAACTCATGGTGTTCATCCACATAGTGAGTAGGCATCAAAGACCCTCCACGAACAACCAACTCTGTGCGAATCTCCATTCAAATTTCCGCACTGAGCTACGTTGAAAAAGTTGGCTCTGGGAAAAATTACGAGCTTCGAACATTTCATTTTGCCTTCTCCACACTCTTTCACGCCCATCTGGAGATCGTAGAGCAAATCGACATTCATTTACAGCAGACCAGTCGTCTAAAGACCAATGGCTGTGTTCTTGAGCAAATGCGAGCTGTGAAACTCTGTGTGTTCTGGTCAATTCTGGTCCTTTTAAGGGGCGAAAAGCCATCATTCCATATTGATTTAATCTTCTTCGGGCAATGTGTTGAGAAATTTGGACTACTTGAACTTCCTGCAGCATATAAACTGCTCGTACAACAGTAAGCTGCCAGTTTCACAAAATTCTCAAAGTCAAAAAATAGTCATCCTGTGGTTTTCTTACACTAGGGTGTCCAAAACTGGGCCTTGTATGATAGGACCCAGTTTCTCGAAAACATCTAACGGCGTTTCCCAGTGTTTCGTGGGGAACTCCGATGGCAAGAGCCTCATCCTGATGGAACGTCCATCATCAATAAGTGCCGCACCAGTCGCAACATCCTCAGCACTAAGTGGCATTTAAGTTTAAAAATTAAAATTCAAAAAACAAAGATGAAAACTACTAGTTTATTGCTTCAGAATTCAAATGAGACTGAATAAACATTTTAAATTTCGTAAATAATAATATAATTATAATAATGCTTTATTGATACAAAATATCCTTGTTTTGGATTATGGATTAAGTGTGTTTACATCTAATTGATATTTCCAATTTAAAACATAGAATAAATAATTCTATGCCGCTGCTCTACCACTTGAGCTATTGGGACCTCGATCCACTCGGGCACCAACTTCCTTTCATTTGTCGACGAGAATCCAATCTGATTACACGACATTTGAAAAATGGCAAAAAGGAGGGAAAACTCAAAAGGTGGGGTTGAGATAGGAAGTTGGTGTCCGATTGGATCGAGGTCACGATAGCTCAAGTGGTAGAGCAGCGACGTATCTAGCCGAAGATCGTGGGTTCGAATCCCCGCTCATGCCATTGACTTTTTTATCTCAACTAAAAACCTTATTAATTGTGAGTCAATATTTTAAGCAATTTTCTATATCATACAAAAATGAACTTTTGCATACATATAATAAATAAATAATACACTGAAAGGCAAAAAATTCCACCAAATTGATTGTTTTTTCTTTTCATTTTCTCCATAAAAGAAAATTCTCCTCTTAATTTGTATCACTGTTTTGACCAATAAATATTTATTTATTCTGTTTTAAATTGGAAATATCAATTAGATGTGAACACACTTAATCCATAATCCAAAACAAGGATATTTTGTATTAATATTTTGTATCTAGCCGAAGATGGTGGGTTCGAATCCCGCTCGTGCCATTGACTTTTTTATCTCAACTGAAAACCTTAATTAATTGTGATATATTAATTGGTCAAGCGGACCACGAAATTAGTAAATTTAAAATATTAAATTTATAAACAACACATAACAAAAGACAAACTAAACATAATAAATAATGTAAACTGTAAATTAAATAAGTAGTGAGATGTCATGTCGTCTTCGATTGTCAGACCTAATATTCCCAGTTTTGTCTGTTAGACTTCTCATCCCACCATCCTCGTAATTTAAGAAGATTTATTAGTTATATTTTCTAAAGTGACTTTTTTACAGTTAAAAAACTATTGAAAATTAACTTTTAGTTTGGTAATTTTCAATAATTTTATCTGCTTATTTTTGGTTTTGTCTGTGTAAGTGCTGTTAATCTCCCCGGTGAAAAGCATACACTTCTGACACCCAAACTAAAGGCTCACCAATCTGTAGAATTTCCAAAAATAAATTTGCTGGATCACCCTGCTTTCGATGAAATTTAGACTACATGGAGCAACATAATTTTATTACATCCACATTTGTTTAGTGGTCATAATTGACCATATTAATAATTTTTGGTTGAGATGCAAAAGCAAAAGATGAGCAGGATTCAAACTCATTACCTTCGGCTTTTAATTTTATTATTTAGTTTTGAAAATTAATTTGGAAGTAGTATTTATTGGAGGTCTGTAATTAAAGAAATAAAGTTTGAATTAGCACATTAAATTAAACTATTTCTCTTTTCACATTGATAAACAACAATATATGTGGTTAGTATATAAAGTGCCAACTAACAGCTGTAAGCGAAGCGTTAAATGCGGATGTGTCAGATCATAATGCGATCATAATTTTCAGTGACTGCTTCAGTTCCTTGCAATCGATTAAAGTCTATTTATTAACAGTATGGAAAATATGGGAAATAATTTGTGGACTATTTGAAAAAGGAATCTGCGTTTCCTTCTGCTAGATTCCTAGTCATGGAATAAAAAACGAATTGGGGTATGTACCTGCTAAACACGCAGGAAATAGAACTGTACATAATTGCAGAAAACTTCATCTCAGCTTTCAAAAAGTAGTGGATGGAACACCCAATGGAAGGATGCAACAAGTTGAGAATGATCAAAGATACCATCCATCGTTGGATATTGCAACGTGAACAGAAGAGATGAAGTGGACATTTGCTGACTCCATATTACCATGATTGACACATGAGTTCCTTACGAACAATACATTGTTTCCTACTTTTCATTGTGGTGACCTAAGCTTGGAACACATTTTATGCCCTCCAAATCAGTCGTAAATTCTGCAGATCTCCCCTAACCATTCCACTGAGCTAACTGTTACAAGATGACCAACGTAAAATTGATAAGGTTATTATTATTGATTTAAAGAAATCAAACATCACAAAATGTAATAATGACTAGTCAAAAATTATTGAACAGAAATGAAATCATAAAAGAGCTCGAGTGCGGGCTGATGGGCTGGTATGTCCTTGCTGATTGGGAAGATGGAATGCCCACGACACCCAAAAGTTGTGGACTTTTCCTTAGGTATATGTTGTAAATGTTTTTTATCCTCATCCTCCAAAAGGACAGACTATTCTTTTCAGTCACGTAAATTGTGGCGTAAAGGCCGGCTGCAAGTGCCTTTCGAGTTGGGTTCATAAAACCCTTTGTTGGTTTTTGGCCTATGAAAAATAAATTAAAAGAGAAAATAACTTATCACACTTTTTTTAAAAAAATTTATTAGCAAATCAATAAAGAAATCTTTTGAGTTGTTACTGTTAACGATAACAATAGCTGTAAATTTTATACTGGTGATAAAATTTGTCATTTGACGGTGGCAAAATATTGAAAAAAAAAAGTTTTTTCAGGTCACAATTACTGAAAATGCTATCATATGTCTGACCCAAATTTAATGTTGGCAGTGGCTAATGAAACATAAAGCCAGTGCCCAGCCTAAATAAATTAAAAAAAACAACCCTGTTTTAATTAATTACATAAATCGTTATTAGTTATTTAACCAAGGTATTCACAAAGAAAACTTGAGTAATTATTACTGTTTAACAAAAAATTTATTCAGTAATTAAATTGTAAATTTCTTCTTTTGTATTAATAAATGAGACTGAGAGTCGTAATAACTTTGCCAAACAACCATGATTTTACAAAATATTAAAAAAAAAGTGCAAGACATTTTAAGTGCAATTTTATTATAAAATGACCTTTTCATTTTGAACTACAATATTTTTTTAATTATCATATTACTCAAATCCGAAAGTTAAAGGTATTTTGTGTGGTGGTTAGTGACCGTTAATCGATAATTATTCAGAAATCGTGAGATGCGGTCTGGTGTGATGTAGGTTTCAGAAAAACATTTTCTTTCTTGTTTTCTTTGGGCAAACGTTGGCACGATAAAGAAAATGTTTTTCTGAAACCTACATCACACCAGACCGCATCTCACGATTTCTGAATAATTAGTTAAAGGTATTTCTTAACATGCATTGATTTTTTTTTTTTGTGTGTCTGTTGAGGCGCAAAGAACAAGGAAAAATGTTTATTAATATGTAATTTACTTTTGTAATAAATATTAATGGTCCTGAGATTGTATTAAATTTGTATTTTCAGGTAGTTACTGGAGGGTCTTACGATGTCGACGTTATTATGCAGGCACCGAATAAAGAGTTAATCTATCGTCGACAGAAGTCCCAGTATGATACGCATACGTTTGTCACCACCCAATCTGGTGAGTATGCAATCTGCTTCAGCAATGAATTCTCATCCTACTCCAACAAAATGGTCTATATGGACCTCCAGGTCGGAGAAGAACCACGGCTCCCTGGGATGAGCCACACCACCGTCATGACACAAGTGGGTTATAATTATTTTTGTTAAAAAAAAAAAATATTTTTTTTGCTTTTTTTTATTAGATGGAGACATCAGCTGAAATTGTACATAAGGCTCTGGTGACAATCTCCGACTACCAAACCCACCACCGTCTTCGAGAGGCCCAAGGCAGAAAAAGGGCAGAAGAATTGAACGAAACAGTCTTCTGGATTTCGTTCATGGAAACGAGCTGCATTCTCATCATCAGCTTTGGACAAATCTGCGTCCTTAAAAATTTCTTTTCTGAAAAAAGGCCAAACCAGTTTGGAAGAAAATAGTGTTGTTGTTTTTGTATTTAAAAGAGATAAAAAAAAATTAAAAAGAATATTAAAAAAATCCATTATTTTTAAAAATTGTCCATTCTATAAATAATGTTTTATTAAATTAAATTATTTAAAAAAACCTCTACTTTTGATAATTTTTGTGTCGTAAAAGTGTTGCATATTTAGTTTTACACTTTTTTTGTGGGAGTACTTTTTTTCTTCAGAAAAACAGTTTTCCCTCGCTCTATTTTCCACAGAATTATGAAAATTGTTACTTTTGTAAATGATTTTTAACGTAATGGTGTACAGTTTTAGGGTAATAGTCACAATTTAATTTATTTATGTATAAAAAAAATGTATGTTTTACTACAAAATTGTCGTCCTTTTTCAAATAATACTGGTGAGAAATTTCTTTCTAATATATCAAAAGGGAATGTGATGTGCTTTCGAGTGAAGTATGCGAGTGAGATGTAAAAGAATTTTTAGAATAAACTAAAAAAAAAAAAAAAAAAGCCTGGTATCTTACTTGCTATTCCCCAATTTTTAAGCTAATTTTGTTATAGTTCGTCATTTGTACTCAGGATAGTTCAACAATAATGTAAATAAAAAATTAATTGGCATATAAAAAATATAAAATAGATTAATAAACTTTTTTTCACAACATAAGCTGATTTTATTTTGAGTATTTATACACCTTATGCACTAAGACAAGAAGAATTTAATTAAATTATATCAGAAGGATCGCAATTATCTTATTTTTTTAATGACTCCAGGAATAATGTAGAAACAAACAAACATACAATAAAACAAGAGTAAGGTCTCAAGCCCGTGGTCCTTCACAAATTGACAAATACTTTATTTTCACACAAATACTTTCTCCCAAGAGGTTCAACTTATAAAGGAGTGAACAGAACAAGAACATAAAATAACAGACATAAACAGACAAAATCAACGTTTATGCAAAGGCATTTGAGCCTCAAGTTAAACAAAGCCCCCCACGGTATTGATCACATAACCCTTGAATTTTGCAAGTACGCTCTTTTCTTTTTTGGGAAGCTTTTGAACTTCATTAACTATATTTTTGATAAAGGCCAACTTACAACCTCAAATAATTATTTTTCCTCATTTTAGAAATGGTAATGTAAACAATGTATTCAATTACAGAGACATCTCTTGTATTGGTTCAATTGTCAAAATATTTTCTTCCATTTTATGCTGACGTTTAGAAAAACATGTCAAAGAAAATGATCTGCTTAGCTAATTGTTGGCTGGCCCCAGTAGAGGTTACTGCACAATCGACATCTTTGTCTAGTTGAAGATGGCCGTGAGTGGAGACAGACCCAGTAAGTGACCCTGTGTCAGTTCAACATGAGTTCACCGACTCAGGGACCAAAACCCATTATAAAATCTTTGTTTTATCTAACTTAAAACAACTGAAGCTCTCAGAAAAACGAGAGAAAGTCTATTGCTTCTTCATAGACTACTTCATCAACTACTCATCATTATTCAAAAGGCTGTTAGATTAGGGTATTTTGTCTAAGTTTGTAGATATAATTAAATCTTTGCATGCCTTGGTTAGTGGTTCAGACCTCAGAGGGAATTTTTTCATACTTGAACATAGGGGATGGAGTAAGACAAGGGTGTGTGCTTAGTCTTCTGTTGTTTGTCCTTTATGTGGATAATATTGTAGATCTACTAGAGGGAGTAATTCCTGATGGGTGTTATTTTTACACCTCGTCTTTCCCTTTTTATTTCTTACCACCTTGATGCTAGAATTTCTGATGCAAAAATTCGGGTTTAAAACTGCACCTGGGTAAATCTCTTTTGCAATAATCTTGGACCTTAAAGCCAAAATAAAAGTAAACAACAGTGTCCTGAGCTCTGTTTTAGGTTATGGCATTCAAGTCTGAGTCTTCCAGTCCTACGAAATTTTGGAAAAATTCCAAAATATTTTTTGTGAAGAAACTGCTCAGTTTACCATATTTTTCCCAAATTACATGCAAATCCCAGAATCCTGTTTGCCTCCTCTATTTTTGTATACCTTTTCCCTGACACCTGTCGTTGTAAATAAAGTTCATCGTAAAAGTACTGAGAGGTATTATTGTTCAGCTTTAACTTTTCTGATTCTGCGATGAAGCTGATGGAATCGTATTTTTCAAACAGATGCAGTCAATTAAATACAACCAAAAGTCTGCTTTCATAAGGATAAACAAGGGAGTTCTGCAAGGATCAATATTAGGTCCTATTATTTTAATGATCTCCACTTACTTTTCAAACTTAACTGGTTTTAAAGATGGCATTATTAATGTATTTTCATGATTTATTTCATATTTTTTCATTTAAAATCATTATGTTCTGGACTAATGTACAAATAAATAGCAATGCCTCCAGCAAGCACCAGGACCAATGTTGGTGGGTTTTAATAAAGACCTTTTAACTCTCGGCTTTTTTTAAAATTTCCAATAAAATGTCAGGTGTCTTCTTTTTTGCGTCAAACCTCATAAACTTCCTCGCCCAAATTATTACAGTCTTCATTCTCAGGTGTGGGGCAGGCATTAGCAGTTCATTCAAGAGCGGCTCGTCTGGAGGCAAGGGTACGTCTTATGGTAGCAATGGAGGTGTAGTATCATCTGATTCCGATTCAGATTCTATATTGTGTTCTTCCAGACTCCCCTTCAGGACGAAATTCGAATTCTTTCTGATTCCCAATCCGTTGTCAGTTCTTTCGGGAATACCAAAGTCATGCCAGAAATAAAATTTTCTTCTTTTCCCCCAATTCCGAGTCACTGGGCCTCAGTTTAATTTTAGGACAAGCACATTTATTGTTACACAAGATGAAATACCAAATCAATTCTGACAAATTACTAAAATATGTACACATACAGCAAACCAAAATATGTTGAATAAACTTGAAAAGTTTCTTGATTAAATTTGTATCATCTCCTATAAAATACAAATACTATCACTATGCCTAAGCGACCTCTTGGAACTCCCATCAAATCCTGATTTACCAAGCTTATTAGAGAGAGTACGCGCGCGCGCACACAAACACACACCCACATGCACACAAAGTGATTAAAATAAAATCTTAGCTCTCATCAAAGGTTCAAGAACTTACGAATTGTTAATAGTTTCTGGCTTTATCACATTAAATGTTAGCCCAAGTGTACACATTTGAATTTAATTCACTAGTTTCGTGGTCCGCTTGACCAATTAATATATTACAATTAATTAAGGTTTTCAGTTGAGATAAAAAATCAATGGCATGAGCGGGATTTGAACCCACGATCTTCGGCTTGATACGCCGCTGCTCTACCACTTGAGCTATCATGACCTCGATCCACTCGGACATCAACTTCCCATCTCAACCACACCATTTTAAATTTTCCCTCCTTTTTGCCATTTGTCGCCGAGAATCAAATTGATTACACATTTGAAAAATGGCAAAAAGGAAGTTAAATTCAAAAAAGGTGTGATTGAGATGGGAAGTTGATGTCCGAGTGGATCAAGGTCACGATAGCTCAAGTGGTAGAGCAGCGGCGTATCAAGCCGAAGATCGTGGGTTCGAATCCCGCTCGTGCCATTGACTTTTTTTAATCTCAACTGAAAACCTTAATTAATCGTAATTTGAATTTAAATCAAAGTTTCTGGGTTTGTTTAAACTGGACAGATAGTTTTAACAGACGGGAAATATTGTTTTGTAAGGAAAACAAAATTGTTCAATAAAAACTGAAATTATATTTCTTTATATGAACAACAAAAAAAGAAAATACAAATTAAACATGCTCATTTTTTTTTTTCATTTTAAACATGATATTTAAAGACATCAGATTTGGTTTAATCTAAGCTTAAACTGGTTCGATACGATGACAATGTAAATAATACGGCAAGACATTAAGGATTAAACATAGATTCTTTTTTCTCTCTCTTGTTATTACTAAACATATTTTTCAATAATAATTTTAGAGGAATATTTTGATAATTATCCATATAATAACAATACACGTAATATAATAATCATTAATAATATATAAATCTATAATTTTAAAAAGAAAACAATGTTTTTATATATTATGTAATCTCCAGTTTTAATGTTGAACGTTAAAAATGGAACAGACTTAGCTAACAATAAATTCTAAATATATCAATTAACTTTCGCATTTTTCCGATTCATTTTAATTAATGACCTATATGATTGACTAATACAAAAAATATATTACTACTAAGCAGTCTGATCGTACAAAAGTTGTAACAAAAACATAAAAGATTTTTTTTTTTAAAGTAAAACAAATTATACAATAAAGAAAGAGAAAATTAAGGTTTTGAGCTAACTCTATTAAAACACTTTAAAAATATTAATTAATAAAATAAAAAAAATAAAAAATAAAAGCTACTACATCTTACAAATAAGTTGCAGTTTATTGCACAGCTCTTTGGAACTTACGTGATGAAAAGGGTTTCAAGAGAATTCTGCTCATGAAAAATTGAAAAACAAGACAGACAAGCATAATTTGAATCTGAATGTTTTGTTTTTGTAATTAATTAAATTGTGTATTTATTAAAAAGTCTAAAAAAATAATAATACAAGATAACAAATAAAAAGGAGCTCGTAATCCCTTTGATGGTTACACCTGGGTGCATTGATCATTTATCAACCTAAAGCTCATTTATGGTAAAAGAATATTTACATTTCAAGCCATCTGAAACATAAGCACAAAAATTAATTTTATTCGCAACAATGCGAAACTTGAAAACAAACCTGCTTGTTCTTTGGTTCCGGCGGTATCCAAACCCGCGAATCCTTTCCAGTCTGTTTTTTCTTTGATTCGTCGACTTTTTTCCACAGGCTGGCGATCTTCGAAGTGGCCTCTTTCTTCACGGGCGCTGCCGCCTGCGAGTTCAGACTCGAGTTCGAGTGCCACCTGCCGGATCCGCTCTGGTCGGAGCACGCCGACTTTAGGCTCTGGTTGCTAACGGAAGTGCGAACGCCGAACCCCGGCTTATTCGGAAGACTGGCAGCCCTGCCTCTCCCGGCGGCATTCTTGCTCGGGGCTGAAATAAAGAACAAAAATGGACGTCATTGTTTAAAAAAATCCTCTTTACCTGAATGTTGAGCTTCCATCAAATGAAACTAGTCAGATTCTCTTTTAGTCAATCGGTCGTTTCATTCCAATATTTGGTGTTCACATTACAATTTCAATTGGCTATTCACATATATTAATAACTTATCTAAGTTCTAGGGGGAAAACAATTTTCAATTGTGGTTTATTAATATTTTAAACGTGAATTAAATAGATTCAATGCCAAACACATTTATTTTAGCAGTTGTAAAATTGATAAATTGCTCATTCTACATCATACACATCATCAACATAAACACATTGTACTATGCTTTTCACGCCTGGACATTAAAAATAAAAAAAAACCTTATTTTTGAACTATGTATTCATCTAGCCACGCAGGTGCCCCATTTTTGGAAATACCTTGAGTTAAATTCCAAATTTTCTTGTTATAATCCTTTAGCTTTAAGAATACTAGCCAATTAATTACTTAATTTAATTTCTAAATGTTTTTTGGTAATATTTATCCTTTTTTTTTCTTCTGCCTTTTCCCTAAATTTTCCTTTATTTGTTTAACCCTGGAATCAGCTTAGCATGGAATTGGTTTTGTAAAAACCACAATGTAAAACATAAATATTATAATAAAGTAATTCCTGTCAACCAGGCTTAAAGTGGAACTACCACTTGGGTGTCCGGGGATACTTTTTTTCAATTAAAAAGCCATGAGCTATGCCAGGATTCGAACCATAACATGGCAAATATGAGTCAGATGCTCCAACCACGGTAGTCATATAAATAAATATTATTATACGATAAATATGTTGTATTTTTGTAAATTTCTATTATAATTCTTGATTTCTGGAGGGTATTGAATCTGTAGTTTTCTCTCTTCTGACCATTTTGTGTCAAAATTCAATAAAAAGCTGAAAAACATGCCTGACAAACCAGTCATCTAAATTAAATCTATTACGTATGAGTTTTATAGTTCAACTAAGTTTTTATATCTGGTTTGAGCCTTTATTTTATTTTTTACTTTAAACATTCAAGTCAACGTAGATTTGAACCTTCTGATTTCAATTTGACGTTTAAGATTTTAAAAAATGTCCTAACTTAAAATATAAATGTGACAGTTTTTATTTACATCTCGATCAATGAATTAACGATATCATACTGATGTCTAATGTTGTAAAATTGGATTTTGATTTGTAAATTAGCAATTAGTCACAACATGGTTGTTCATATGTTTTAAAAAAGTTAAATTTGGAAGTTAACTAAAAGTCATTGAATCATCGATGTGGATGCTTGAGGAGAACTACTGCGATTTATTTAAGTTTCCTTGTGTTTCTGGCTTAAATCAAAAAGTAATCATACTGCTAAAATATATAAATAAAAAAAAGTTGTAAAGTGAAAAATTTCAATATTGCATAATAGCTGTTAACAGTCGCCATAATTTAACATAAAAACAACACAAAAAAGATGCAGCTTTTGTTTTCAAAAGCTCATTAATTATTTATGTGTGGTGATTAGTGACCGTTAATCGATGATTAATCAGAAATCGTGTGGTGTGGTTTGGTGTGATGTAGATTTCAGAAAAACATTTTCTTTATCGTGCCAACGTTTCGGTCTTTATTGAGATCATCTTCAGGGCCTGGGATTTATAAACATTGTTTAAATTTAACAAAAACATGTAGGATGTGGAAAAAAGTGAATTTATACAATGCAAAAAATATTTTAGAAATACTTTGATTGAATATAAAAAAATATTTTTTTGCATTGTAAAAATTCACTTTTTTCCACATCCTACATGTTTTTGTTAAATTTAAACAATGTTTATAAATCCCAGGCCCTGAAGATGATCTCAATAAAGACCGAAACGTTGGGACGGTAAAGAAAATGTTTTTCTGAAACCTACATCACACCAGACCTCATCTCACGATTTCTGATTAATTATTTATGTTTTTCCAATGAACAACGTCTACGAAGAATATGATAAATGAGCACAAATGTTTCAACTGATTTTCGCAATATCAGAAAACAACTTTCTTAAACACAAGGTTAAAATTTCTATTTTAAAAAATATACAACATATCATGTATTTTATAGAAATTTATCCACTTAAGACCAAGAACTGTTATTATTTTTTATAAACAAAATAAAAAAAGAACCAACTCATGAGGATTACCATTATTGATTAAAAAAAAAATTTCAGTCCATGAAGTTTATGAAAAATTTATTACCACCACAGTACAATCATCCTAAGCTACTCTTGCTTGGCAACTTTTCCATCCTCAGTGGTGTCTGTGGATTGCAATAGTTGAGGCCATTTTATAGTTTATCCAGACCAAGGATTAAAGATGTTGAAACTAGTCTGACAGAATTGGCAAGGATGATCAGAGACGAGATACTAGATGATCACAATTCTAAATTACAATCACACATACCTCTGTCCATAAATTTTAAACTATTTCTTTTTTAAACGGCGAGATATGTTGAAGTTCAATGAAACCTGCACAAGTTGATTTTGATCATTAATATCGTAATATAACCGTTTTTGTTTGAAAATGCTGGGAAACATCTGTGCATGTTTCTGACTAAGTCTCTAGTCGAATCGTAGGACTGTTTTGACGGTCAAAACCAGTCGCAAACCCGGCCTGAAAATGTGTTGGAATGGCCGGTTGACAAGTTTGACTTTGTAGCATGACGGAACGCTCAAACTCAGCTGCGTATGCGGCCTGTTCAATTGTTGATGACTTGGACGTTTGATGGAACAAACCTAATATGATCTTCACTATTTGGACTATGTGTTATTTTGTCGTATATGCCGCCTTTCAAGGGCGTTATTTTCATTAAAAGTGTCAGACAGGGTAACACATAGACCAACTAGTAAAAATGACAAAATTTGTCTTTCATTTAATTAAAAAAAAAATCCTGCATACTCTTTTTTTTTTTGTTAAAGATTAAATATTATACATTAATTATTATTTCCATATCATGCAAGGATGCATTTTTGTAAAATTTGAATTTTTCTTTTGTCAGGCACAGATTCATTATGATCAGAAGCATATTAATTAAGATTGTAATAGAACGATGAATTTTTTTTGAGTGCATATTTCATCAAACTGCCACCGACATTTTTCACTGTTGACGAACTCATGCATTTCATAATAAAAAAAATTATAAATATAAAACCATTTCATAACGCTCGACTGTAAAGTAAAGAAATCATGGTTTACCTTGCAGGAATTTAACTTAGGATTAATTAATGATTAAGTTAACATACTGGTAAATAAATAGTCACTTAAAAATGCAATTACAATTTTATTCAATTGAATGTTTCATACTGTACAAATTAATTAAACTAAGAGCATGTATTTACAAATGCCTAGTTGAATGCAAACATGCAATAATACACAACAAATGTAACAATAAAAAAAGAGAAGGAAGTGAAAAGATTATTCAAAAATTAATTATGTAAACTTAAAAGAAGAATAATGAATTAAAGAAAATTGATACATTAAAAAAAATGTACAAGTAGTATAAAATATACTGCAAAATAGAATTTTTGTTTTAAAGGAAGGTTACAATCAAACGTTAATTTTAAGGAAAAAAGTATTAAACTTATTTCTTACCTATGGGGTTCTTTTTAAGAGGTGATGCTATTTTTTTGATAGGTACGGGAATGCTAGAGGAAGCTTCATCCTTTGTGAAAGTGCCCTGTCTCTGCAAGGGTTGGACGACCTGCGACTTCTTCTTGACAGCGGGCTGAGGGATTTTGACGGGGCTTCGCACCACCGGGATGGCGCTGCTCCGGCTGGCTCCTCCTCTGATGCTTTTAACCTAACGGTTTATTTTGTAATTAAACATTGGAATGATCGATTTCTGTCGAAAGGCTCACCTCAGGAGGTTTGACGACGATCGGCCTCGGCGGCTCCTCGGCTTCGCTCGGGCTTTCAGAAGGCTGTTCTAGCGGCGAAATGCTTCCCTCGCTCGCCTGGCTCTCACTCTCTACACTCGACAATCTGTAAAATAAATGTTTAATGTCTAGTTATTCTAAGACTTGTTATATTATTACCTTTCTACATTTGGAGGCGGAGGCACATCATTGATTGTTCTAGTCCTAAATCTATCTCTATCAGCTTGCCTCCGTTGCTTAGGTGTTGTTCTTTCCTTCGGCTTAGTCTCAACTTCTTGCACTTGTTCCTTTCCTCCTTTCGGTTCTCCCTTAATCACATATGTGTTATATCTACAAATTAAAAAAAAAAAGAAGATTTATTTGGAAGAACAATACTGGGTCAGATTTTACTATTAACATAAAAATTTTCCTTTAACTGAACTGTGTCACTGGATAAAGGGCACGATTTGCTGAATAAATTAAAGCCATCGAACATTCTAACTTTGCTTAGAATAGGTCATACATGATTGACACACAGACATGTCTAATCCTGTGTACGCATCTTGTAAATAAATATCGGTCATTGATGTGTACAGCAGTTTTTGACTTCTTATGGTCAAGGACAGAATATTTTTTTTGTTATTTATTATTTATTAGGGGGCGTGAGTAAAAAAAAATTTCAATTTCAATTTTCAACTTAATAGACAGTGCACTGTCATCACAGAAAACCAAAAGAAATATTCCGAAATCTCATATGCGACAGTTGTGATTAGAAATGCATTTGAGGGTCTAAAAGAATTTCCCGAGATAACCCAGGAACAGTATTTCCCTCCACTTCAACAACCAAATAATCGTTGAAACTTTAGGCGAGCCCCAGCGAGAATAAATTGCTCCACTCCAAAAATTGTCACCTATAGACAGTCCTTCCATAAGCCAAACTCACAACTACCAAAACTTCCCCTCTCATCCTATCGGAAGCAATCCTCATGCTACGACATAAATCAAGAAACTTATCACTCAGCTAAATAATCTGTCTCAAAGCATACAAGAAAATAAGGACTCAATTACAAAATCAGAAGCTATCAACATGGAAAACACAAACACGATATCATACCTGAACAAAAAGTTCAAAAGAAGTAATTCAGATCCCTAAGAAGTATAAAACTATTAAAATCACCCGAAAAACAATAACTAACAACAAATATCTTTATAAATGAATTCAAATAAAAAAATAAAAATAGACCAATAGTAGACATCCTTAATATTCTTCAATGGAACATACGTTCATCTAAATCAAATAAAATTTTTTTGGACGTCCTTATGGCTCACGAGAGTATAAACATAGGCTTAATATCCGAAATGTCGTAAATACGAACCATCCCTACATTCTCTCAAGCTTTGATTTAATCCACAATGATCGAAACGATGGCTACGGGGGTAGTGCCATCATTATTGGCAATAAAATAAATTATGTAACTCTCAGTATCAATAATAAAAGTAATAACTAATAATAATACAGTAAAACTAATACTACCATTTAAAGACATTATATTGGTGTCAGTGTATGTACAACCAAACGACAACGTAATAGTGAAAGATTGGACTGATATCTCGGGACAATTCTCAGACCCGGTAATCATCGGGGGAGATATGAACACCCATTACAAGGCTTGGGGTGTTCGTTCAAAGATGCATCAGGTAAAGACTTCTCGAAGCAATTGACCAGCTAGCTTTGCCAACAATGGTTTGCCTACGTTGATCAACAAAGCAGGGCAGAACGCCTCATCCCCTGATCTCACTCTCGTTTCAGAAAAACAAGCCCCAGTCTTGTCATGGGAACCAATCTCAAAAATATTGCATATGACACAGGAGTAGATAAAATTCATCTGAGGTATTGCTAGCTATTCGAGTACAATCTCAAACATAGAGCAGTCTGTTAAAATGTATGTGGAAAATATGATGATAACGTAACCGAATGCATGAGTCAACAGAGATTCTGATGTTTTCAACATGGAGAGAGACAAACCAAAGACTTAAAAGTGTTGATTTATTAGTGGCCCTGGAGGATGAGAATAAATTAACTGTAGCAGAGCTATCGTTGATATTTTTGGTGCATCCCACAATAGAAAGAAGTAGCCTATCTCTAGGGTGTGAAACGTGATTCATGGATTTACTATGAATTGTCATTCAGGAATAAATCAGAATTTCCTATTTGGTCGCTGGGGATGAGAAGTGGGTCCTTACAAAAATCCAATTTTGTTCCACTCAAAAATGCTATGAAAATTGTTCGTACAGATTTCTTCTCGCCTCATCAGACTTTTACAAAAAGAGAATATTTCCCCAACTAGAATATTGGCAGTATTTTGTAGAAAACGAAGGAAATTATTGAATTAAAAATAAAGTACATTTATATTTTGAAAGTTTGACTTTTTTTTAAAACAACAAACTCATGCACACAGCCAATGTATTATTTGCAAAGATATATTTGCCAAAATTTGGCAAAATGCTGAAATATGTCTGAAGAACCAAAGTCAGTAAGGATAAGCTGACTAAAATGATTGATATCAAATTATACTGAGAGGCCAAAAAAGTGGCCACCCTTAACATTTTTTTATTACCTGTTAGACAATCCTCTACTGATTATCTTACAATATTTGGTTTGTTTTAAAGAATTGGAGGTAATTAAAACACTGATAAAATCTTCCACTTGTGTTCAAATTTGATTTTGTAAATAAATATTTAAACGGTAAATCTCTTCTTTGTTGGTTTTTCTGTACAGCGTCTTTCTATCCAGTGGTTTGATTTCTTTTATATTGTACCATTTTTAAGTTTCAAATTAGTTTGAGAGATGGTTTTAAGTGGTACAGATTTGGCTAGAATCATTGTTGGATGATGGAAGAAGTCAATTTTATGTGACTAGGGTGCTTAACATTCCCAGAACAACTCTCCGAAGGGTCTTCCTTCGCTAACAAGATACTGGGGGTTACTCAAGAAGGTATGGATCAGATTGCTATCTTGTCACATCTCAGAGATAATTTTATGGTTTCGAATGTACTATGTACTCGACATTCTACCGCTGTTGAGATCAAGCAACTACTTCAACAATTTAAAAATGTTAGTTTACGCACTGTAAGGCAAAGACTTTTAGCTGGGTTACTTGCGAGAAGACCTGACACGTACTGAATGTCTGAACAAGGCACAGAACAGCTCGGTTAAGTTTTGCAAAAAATCACATCACCTTCTGAGGAAGATTGGTCTAAAATCATGAGGTTTTGTTAGAGGTTTTCTGATGGCTGAGAGAGGGTTTGGAGAAGAACAGGAGAGCGGTATATCCCTGTAACATTTTCAATCCGGAGAAGCTATGGAGGTTTGGGCAGGCATTTCTATGGAAGGCTATTGATCTTCATCAAGGGTTCCCTAAGAGCTGCGCGTTAAAGTGAAGATGTATTATCAGAAGTTGTTCCTTATATGCAACTAATTGTATTATTTTTATGCTTGAAAACGCAAGGCCCCACACAGCTATAACTTCGTCCATGCTATTTTTCATTTGTGTTGATTTTCATGTTTCTCCTCCTCTACTTTTAAAGCAGCTGAAGATTCGTCCAAATTAGCAAATAATCTGAGTGTACATGGAGACCTACATACTACAAGTAGAAGTAGCTCATGGCATTGTATTGGGACTATTTTTGTTATTAATATAAATGATTTTCACTCTGGACATTATGGCTCATTATCGTATGACCACTTATTCCGTAATTAAATACCGGAATTGTTCTCTCTGCTGATTCGGGCTGTGCTAAGTTTCTAAATAGTTGCTTTTTCCTCCAGAGGGTCAAGGAGTGAAGAGAAAGTTTATCCTTGCTCGACAGTTCTAACTAGTTAATTACATATCAGTGCCAATATTAAATGATAATAAATTTAAACGTGTCTAATCCTCTTTAACTTCTAGATAAAATTGTAAGTATACTGTAACTGTGCCACAAGTCAAATTGACACGAATAGTTTTTTCTGGTTGGGAGCTGGTTATTTTTCTGAGATTATTCAATTATATACAATCTTGAAGAACTTGTACTTTATTGCACACATGGTCTCACTAATTGGCGACGGTTGTATTTTTATGCAAGGCCCCACACAGCTAGGATGTTGGCGACTACTTGGAACGGGCTTCAATTCAATGTTTAAAATGGCCAGCATGTAGTCCTGACTTAAACCTTAATGATCACCTTTGGGACAAGTTGTCAAGTCTGGTGAGTGAATTTACAGGAATGAAGAATGGCACTCTTGGAAAATATTCCCCAGCATGTCTCGTGACGTCCGAGAGAGGGTTTGGAAAATAAAAGGAGAGCCATGTACCCCGTAACATTTTCACTCCTAAACTATGGAGGATCTGAAGTTATGGTTTGGGCAGGCATTTCTATGGAAGATTGCACAAACTTGATCTTCATCGAGGGTTCCATAATGGTGATACATTGAGGGTTTGTTATCAGAAGAACTTGTTCCTTATATGCCACTAATTGACGATAGTTGTATTTTTATGACAATGCTAGATCCCGACAGCTAGGATGGTTGGTGACTTCTTGGAACGATCTTCAATTCAATGTATGGAATAGTCAGCTGCAGTCCTGACTTAAACTCTATCGGACACCTTTGGGATGTTTTAAAAGAGGATAAAAAGTTGCCTAGTGTGAGAATTTGCAGGAAATAATAATGGCGCTGTTGGAAGTGAATAAAACTATTCCTCAGCAGTACATTCAAAACCTCATAAAGTCGATGCTACGTTGAATGCAAGAGGTGATCATCGCAAGAGGAGGAAAGACTCCGTACTGAATTGAATATTTTATTCATTATATCCATAGCAACATTATCAAATTGTTTAAATTTAATTTATTATTTAGGTGTAATCTTATATTTTTCTTTAAAAATATCCAATAAACAACAAAAAATAAAAATGATAACAAATGCAAGTTTTTGCACAAATTTACTAAAAAACAAAACAAGGGTGGCCACTTTTTTGCCTCTGTGTGTATAATAAAAATACAATTTATTGATCTTGGTCTGCTTATTCTCAATTGTTTTTTCTCTTCAGATATGCTGTCTTCTGACATTATTTTTATTAAAATGTCGATATATTTGACAATTTGACACAGAGCAAACCACCGAAGATATGTGCTATCAAAATAAATGTGTGTCAAAGTTAAAAACATTCCAGGCTGTAGTGAAGAATAATGAAATATAAAACCATAATAAATAAATAGAAGAAAGGAGAAAAAACATTTCCAAATAAGAAAGTCATGGAAAATTCACTATTCAAGAAATTGGAGAAAATCCGTTGAATTATTCTGTACCCAAATTTGTACTAAAATTATTTGTTAAATATTATAATTATATTGTTGTATGTGTTGTACTTTTTAATCTTTATATAAAAACAAGTTACCTGAATTTTCCAAGCTCTCGTCTCTGCTTTGGCGTCATCTTCCGTTGTGAGGGCGGCGTGGCTTCTAATGTGATGTCGTCAATGCCGTCAGCGATTTCTGAACTGATGCTCGCCACGCTCATGATGCTGTTGTCAAGATCGACCATCTCCTCCATTTCAGTCGGCGGCTTGACGTTTTCAAGAAGACTCGCCTCTTTCTGCGGTAATTTTTTCTTGTCGACATCGATTGAACACGATAGTGAAATGATCGAGTCCATGGCCGAAGGCGGTTGGACCTGGTCGAGTTCAAGGACGCTTCCGTTGAGAAGGCTATCTGTAAGTTTGAAATCTTTCTTCGGGTATTTGTCATTGATGGAAGTACAGCTGGACATCGAGATCATCGAAGCCATATTGGAAGGCGGCTGGATTTCATCTATCCCGACAAAACTATTTTCCATTTCTAGATGAGATATAAGAGCTACTTTTCCCGAATTGAGTTTTATCACTCTTGATTCTGTCAATGTGATATCTTGATCAGTCTTATCCTTGTCATCTTCGTCTTCAGCACTGTCGTATGAGTGGATAACAGGTGGTGCCATACTCAAACTCGGATATGACATGTCGTTGGGAGTTTCTTCTGCCCATGTGTCAGTGCTGTCTTTCATTTTATCAGGGACTGTAATCAAATATCACTTTGAATTTCTAAATGTAAAAAAAATGAGTAGAAACACTGACCTGAAGGCATTCCAGATGAAATGACTTGCATGAGAAGTGCCTGGTCTTCTTGCTCGGCCAGAGTTACCTCATCCGCCGAAGCCCCCGAGAGCACAGTAACAGCTTCAACTTCATCGACTGTAACTTAAACAAAAGTAAATATTATATAATTTAGTAATAAAATTAGAAAAATACCATCTGGATCCAGAGAGCTCAGAGGCGATGGATTCTCGGCAGGTGGAGGAGTTTCAATTCCGAGCCTGTGAAAATAATAAATTGAAAATATGTTCAAAATTCAACATTAGAGAAACAGACCTTTCAGGTTTGGAATTAATCGTTAGATCCGAGAGCGAAGATCTGATCGAGAAGTTTCCAGGGCTTCCTTCAGTGGCAAAAACTGAAACTTCGTCTTCAGCCACCAACTGCCTCATCCTGAATAAAATCAAATAAACTGCATTATTACGTAAATTATTAATAATAAAAATTGATATTAAATGATATTTATTATTAGCAGAATTTTGAAAAGCAAGAAAATAAAATCACCTTGGTGTTGGAATAGACACTGGTCTAGGTTTAACAATTGTCGCTTTTCCTCTGGGAGCAACTTGTGATACTTTCGCTTTAAGTTCAACTTGGCTTCCATTCTAAAATATGAAAAGCAAAAATTAAATTAATTAAAAACAACAAGGAGAAAGAAAAAGTAAGGATGTCAAGTGACAGAATAAGGACCTGAGCTTGCGGCATGCCGGATTGTATGCATTCAGCAAGGATGTTTTCGTGATCGGATGAGGCGTCGGACAAAGCACAGGAAAGCTCGCTATGGGACGTAGCGTGACTTAAGCTCGCAGGGGTGTCTTCGGTGCAGAACTGTACAGGAGTGTCCTCCATCTAGAAAATGGAAGCGAATCGTACGCCGTTTTTACTCGAAAGCGAAAGCAGAAATAATGAAAACTCACATGCTGCGTCTGACGAGTTGGTATCTTAACGGGGATTCCTCTCACTCGTGGTATCCGGCTGTTTTGTGCCATAGACCCGGATTCAACACGGTCTCTTAAAAATTCATAAATTGATTTATATAATTCTTAAAAGAGGAAGACAAAATTAAAAACCTGTTGTTTTGCATTCCGATATTGATACAGTCGGCTAAAACATGCTCGTCTTCTTCTTCTGACACTGCTGCCAATTCAATTTCTTTTCTTCCCTCCTAAAAGTATTATTTATATTCATTTTCAATTCTATGAACGAAAAATTTTTTTGTATTTACATGTCCTTCGTCATCAAAGGTGAGATCACTCAGACTAGTCGCCGTGGAAAACTGCGCAGGTGTGCTTTCTTCCTTAAAAGCTACGACTGCATCGTCAAAGACTCCAGGTTGGCCGGATGGCTTTTCTTCCGCTTCGTTTGTCTCTGTTAGAACAGGTGGGACTTTGACCCGAGGGCTTGGCGGTATTGTCTGAGTAGGCGAATCTGGCACCTCGCTCGGCGAGAGAATGCCACTCGTCATCCGGCTGTTCAAAAGTTTTATTAAATTAAATTTCAATAATTATTTTATGGTTTGTTAGTACCTGAATTCGCTCACTACAGAAGATCTGCAATCGTCCTGTTGCTCACAGCTGCTCAATGAACCTAGTGAACTGCACCTCGAGAACATCAACGGCGTTTCCAAAGTCGTAGGTTTCCCTGGTTCAATTTAAATGTTAGAACAAAAGGATTTAAAAATCACAATCATTTTAACTCACCTGAATCTAATTTTCCTGGCGAAGCTTCTACCGAATTAACAGGTTCATTTGGCTTCTCAATTTCCTTACACTGAAATTAATAATTAACAATTTATTTATATATATATAAAAAAAAAAAAAAATAAAATAAAAAAATAGTTTCTACTTTGTTCAGTGATGGGCTGGGTGAATCCTGCTGCTCTGTCTGTTCTTCTTCGTTATACCTTAAACTATAATCAGTCAATTGATCGAGATCCGTTTCTGCATAATCACCGCCTGTTTCTTCATTGAAGTAAGGCTTGAAAAATAAATAAATATATAATTTGAACAATATTTCAGTTAATTTAATTTAAAAAAAAGTTGAATTGTACCTTTTGCTCAGAGTTCTCTGCATCTTTGAATTTAATGCTGTAATTAACTGCATCATTGTCTGTCTCATTTGTTTTGTTTTCTTTCTCGCAATACCTTTAAACAAAATTTCACTATTAAACAAATTCACAATTTAACTTTAAAAATAAGAAAAAACAATAATTACTTAAGACTATAATTCACAGGTTGGTCCGAGGTCTCCTCGATGTGTTGTATCGTCTGATTTATCTGATCGCAGTCTTCTTTAGCCTGTATTAAATTGCACATTTTTTTTATTACAATGCCTATTTTTGTCATGTTGGAAAATTATTAGACTGACCGGAGTAGTCGTTACTTGCTCAGCGTCCCAGATGGGCGACGGATCGATGTTATCGCATGTTTCGGACAGCGAGCTGTTCAGTTCCGCTTCGAGGGCCCTTCTCTTTCTCACAAGGAGTGTTGCACTCCCTGAAAATAACACAAAAATATTAAATTGGCAACTTAATGTGTTTATAATTAATAATAACCTGAAGGCGTTTGAGCTTGCTGCTGTGCTAAACGAACAGGAAGAAGGTTCTTCAATGCCGCAGAAGCCCCCATCGCGATCATCCTGTGCTTCGAGTGTGCCAACGAAGTCAACATGGGCACAGCACCGAGTGCCACAAGCGCTCTTTGATCTGTGGCGCATCTGGCTGAAAGGTTCCAAAGCGTCCCGCATGCATTGCTCACCACTGTCAAACTTGCGGATTGAAGTTGCCTGAGGAGGATAGCGAGGCAGTTGTGCTCACGGAGGATTTTTCTGTAATTAATTATTCATTGTATTTTTAATATAAGAAAAAAAAAATCAAAGTTAGTTAAGAATTTGAAATTAATTAACTTGATGACAAAGAAATAAAAATAAAACGTTTTAGTATGCTATGAAATGCCAAATTTACCTGTAATCTTCACGTACGGCAATATGACTAGAAATATTTCGCAAAATCCCTCCAGAGTTTTCTATGACCGAGAGTGTTTTAGAAGATGACTGATAATTTAACATTTCAACGAGGTATTGTAGAGCTCCTTCAACGCTACAAATGTCCACCTGCAGACAAAAAAAAGTCAGTGAACTACTGGAATTTTTAAAATGTTTGTCTCAAATACCTTGTTTATATTGCAGTGTGCTGATAAATTCCATAGAGCAGACAAGACAGATTTTAAAGTTTGCTCTCTTGTCGCTGCCATGGCGGCTCTCATGAGCGCCGGAACTGACCCGACTTCCCGAAGGGATTGCTTGCTTGCAGCGTCCGCCCTCCAGGACAAGTTTCTTAGTACACTTGCTGTAACCTAAACATAATTTTTTTTATATATACGATGATCAAGTTGATGGATTATAATGATAAATAACCTGAGTGAGATCTTCACTGTTTGATGATAACTGCGCTACAAGAGCGGCCATGAATGGTTTCATGGAACAGAGAAGGGCTTTGTTGTTTCCGTCACCGAAAGTCAGGTTGGTCAGGGCCATTCCGGCGTAACGCTTTAAGGTCACGCAGCATTCTTGGTGATAAGGAGCTTCGACCTGAACGAGCCTGGCGATCACATAAAGAGCGCCGAGCTGACACATGGCCAGCCGGTGCTCTTCATCGAACGATAGCTTCATGAGTGCCGCGATGGCAGGACCAGGGTGAGATTCTTCACAGTGGCCCTCGCTGCCCAACCCCGAGGATGTTAAAGAATCACTGTAGTTGGTCACTTGCTCGAGAAGGCGAAGCACCCTGGCCTCTCGTCGCCCTCTCTTATCATCACTATGACACAAAACCATGTTGCGAAGAGCTTCTGCCGCCCTCTGGCGCACAACCGTGCTCTCTCCGCTCGAATGAACAAGTTGTACCAAAAGAGAAAGACACCCTAATTAAAAAATAAATAAATTATAAGATTGTAATTCATGAGGTAAAAAATTGAGAACATACCTGACTGTCTCATGGCTTTACAACTGTCGGGAGAACTGCTCATGGCAAGGAGTGTTGATGTCATGTCTGCTCGGTCATGCGTCCCCAGCATGGAAAGAAGGTTGTAGACCATCTCAACCTTTGTACCAAGCTGCTCACTGCTGTAACTGTAGCTATAACTGAGCCCTCCATCGCACATAGCCTGAGAAAAAAAAACACAATATCAAAAGATAAATCAATGATTAATCTTGGGTATTAGAGGTCAAGTTTCACTTCTTTATAATTCCTTGCCGCTATGAAAGCCGTTCTATAAATACCTTGATAACACTAGCTTTGTTTGTTTATATGAAATTGTTTGTTTAGCTTTACTAACTCACTTGTTTGGTATTGACAGCTGCTGTGCTATGGCACATCGTGTTCTGCCCGGAAATCAATTTCATTCCCCTGTCGCTGGCCTGGAATAAACATTTACATTAATTCATCACATTTAATTATTTACACAGTTTTATTTTAATCTAACAAAACTAATTGTTTTTTGTTAAAGGCACATTTTAATATTTGCAAATTGAGCATTTAATTAATGTTTTTAATTTATAAATAAATCTATAAATTGAATTTGCAAACAATCTGTCTTGTTATTTGCAACTTACGACAATCAGACAGACACAACACAGAATTAAAACAAAATAATAGTGTTTTTGTTTTTAAAAGAAAAGATGGTTTAAATTCGTACAAATACATTAAATTTTTATTTTATTACTTGTGAGATTGAACTTTTCTATCAATTTTGCAAAGTAATAAGTTTTCTTATAGCAAATTTAATGTTCTTTCTGGTGGCACAAACCAGATTTTTCTAGTCAGTAATTCTGAAGTTTATAAGCAATTTAGTGGACCGAAGTTGAAAAATAAAAAATAAAACCAAAACCTTAAATTACTTCTTTACCGTTGAGATTTGGACAAGGGTTTATAGGAAGTTTTTTGTTGCATATTCGAATAGAAACATCTGAAATTTTTAACACTTATCGCCAGTCACCCAGTATAAATAGGGTATTTGAGCATTGCAAATCATTTATTCTTTATTAGACTTTCCATTTCACAGTTACTCAATCCAATTTCTCAATCAATCAATCTCTCACTCACTATGTAACATTCACTCAATTCAATCTATCTCAATCAATAAGACTCTCTCTTACATTCATTCTCATCTTCTCTCTCTCTCTCCCTCACAACCTTTCACACTAACACATTTTACACTCTTTAAAAGTAACTGAATTCAATATATCTCAGACAATCAATCAGACTCTCTCTTACACAAACAATAACATACCCATTGACTCAATCTCTCTTTCTCTCAACCTTTTACACTCACACAACAATCTCACACACCCACCAATAGAGTAACATCACCCCCACAATGCAACATTCACTCACTCTTTAACATACGTTCAATTACATCTCAATCTCTCTTTCAATAACTCTATCAATCTCTAACCCACTACTCATCCAATCTCTTGATCTCCTTCTCTCTCATACACAATGCAACATGCACTCACGCACACACAATGTATCACTCACTCTCTAACAATTAGTCAATCAATTCAATCTCTCTCTCTCTCTCTCTCTCTCTCTCTCTCTCCCTCTCAACTGATCTCTCAAACAAATGAATCAATCAATCAATCACTCTCTAAAATTCACTCAATTCAATCCACTAACTCATCCAATATCTTAATTCTCATTCACTCTTTCAATTTATCCAAATACAATTTATCACTCACTCTCTATTTCAATCAATCATTCATCCTCTAATCCACTAACTTATCCAATCTCTCTCTTAATTCTCATTCACTCTTTCAATTTATCCAAATACAATTTATCACTCACTCTCTATTTCAATCAATCATTCATCCTCTAATCCACTAACTTATCCAATCTCTCTCTTAATTCTCATTCACTATCTTTCAATTTATACAAATACAATGTATCACTTACCCTCTCACTCTCTCTCTCTCTCTTTCAATCAATCAATCAACCTCTAATCCACTAACTTATCCAATCTCTCTCTTAATTCTCATTCACTATCTTTCAATTTATACAAATACAATGAATCACTTACCCTCTCACTCTCTCTCTCTCTCTCTCTCTCTCTCTCTCTTTCAATCAATCAATCAACCTCTAATCCACTAACTCAATCCCATCTCTCACCAACAAATCACTCACTCACTCTCTAACAGTTAGTCAATCAATTCAATGCCCCCTCCCTTCAACTGATCTCACAAACAAATGAATCAATCAATCACTCTCTAAAATTCACTCAATTCAATCTTAAACAATCCACTAACTCATCCAACCTTCCTCTTAATTCTCATTCACTCTTTCAATTTATCCAAATACAATTTATCACTCACTCTCTATTTCAATCAATCATTCATCCTCTAATCCATCCAATCTCTCTCTTAATTCTCATTCACTCTTTCAATTTATCCAAATACAATTTATCACTCACTCTCTATTTCAATCAATCATTCATCCTCTAATCCACTAACTTATCCAATCTCTCTCTTAATTCTCATTCACTATCTTTCAATCTCTCCACCTCTCACTAACGAATCACTCACTCACTCTCTAACACTAAGTTTTTTTCACTTCTCACTCTTTCTTTAACCACCTCTCAATTAAACCTTGATCAATCAGTCACTCACTAACTCATTCAATTCTTCTCTCTTACTTTTAACACTCAGTTCCATCTCACTCTCAATTAATCAGACCTCTCACCTATTACTCCCTTTCTCTCAATCTCTCTCCCTCCCTTCTTTCTCACGTTTTTCTCGATCACGCTATCCATCACTCTCACCTATCCATTCTTTTTTATTAATGCCCTAACCCTCTCTAATATGTTATATAAAACAATAATTCTACATAGAACATCAACGAATCGGTCATTTTTATTTAAGACTAAAAGCTGGTCTAAATTTACAAATTTTATTTTATTATTAGATCGCTTAATTTAATTGATTTAGTACTAAAAACTGTCGAGTCGTCAAGTGACACATCTGTACTTCATAAATACAAAAGGAAAAAAAGGACTAGGACGACGTGTATAGGGTTCAGGCGAAACTGGAACTTCTATAATGATGGATTGAAATTTAATAATTCAAAATTTTTTATTGCAAACATTGTACCATATTCAATTAATTAAGATTTTAAGTTGAGATAAAAAAGTCAGTGTCACGAGCGGGATTCGAACCCACGACCTTCGGCTAAATACGCCGCTGCTCTACCACTTGAGCTACCGTGACTTCGATCCCCTCGCGCTCTAAGTTCCCATCTCAACCCCACCTTTTTTGAATTTTCCCTCCTGTTTGCCATTTTTCAAATGTCATGTAATCGGATTGGATTCTCGGCGACAAATGAAATGGCCACGGAGAGCTTTAGTGAAGTGTACTTCATTTTATTTCATTAAATTCACTATTTTTCGTGATCCACTTGACCAATTTAATTACATTAAATTAATTAAGGTTTTAAGTTGAGATAAAAAATTGTTAATTGTACCATATATTTATTGAACGTAAAATTTTCTTACAACAAAAAAGAGATGGTTTTTCCGCGAATATTTCGAGACAAACCAGAACTTATCCCTGATTTTTAATATAAAATTATAATATTGATGGGTTATATTAATTATATCCGGCGAATACCGCTGATATACGGTTTCGAAATGTATTTATTGGAAGAACTAATATGTAAGAAATCCCGTTCACCCCACAGACAAAAAATACGTCGAGATGATTTGACAACAAATAATCAAACTTACTTGGGTTGACGTTTCTTCTTGCTCTTTGGCCTCTGGCGAAGCCCCCTGCTCCTTGGTCCACCGCGTCCCAATAACATCCTAAACGAAACAATCATAATTTTAAATAATTATTACAGCACGTTTACAGATAATGCCATACAAATACAATCACAAATGACGAATTCTGACAAAACTTTTGTTTTAATTAAAGTTCAAATATTAAAATAGGTCAAAGAACCTTTTGTAAAGTGTCAACTTGTGATAAAGTGGAGCATGAAGCGGTACACAATATGTGATAAGTGTTGGATGATAAATTGTTCGAGACAAACGGCTTATCACCCTGAAAGCTGGCAATAGGCAAAACGTTATTGTTTTATTATTCAAATTAAAAGGAAAGAAAAGAAAAAAAAGTGCTATCCAGTGAGAAAATATCAATAAAAGCTAAAGCTTGCTCAACGTTCGGTTCAAAAATGTCATCGTTTTGTAATGAAATGCCTGCGTGCATAACGTATCGCTCTTTAGGGAATTTTCCTTGTTTTTTTTCGAAACGGGGCATGCATAATTCATACATGATGCAATTTCTTGCGTCTTTTTTAAAAAACATTTTTTGAATATCAAAACGTCCCAAAATCTATATCTTTAGAAATCTCCAAACTCTAGCGGGTTTTAAAAGCTAAATAATTACACTTCTATGCCGAAATTTACGAAAGAAAAGTTCTCAAATTACAAAAAAACTAAAAAAATGTTTTTATTTACTACTGCTTTAAAATAATAATAATAAATCAATTACTCGTTCAAACTTATCTACAAATGGTTTCTAATTTTTACATTAAAAAAACACCCTCTAATGTGACTGTTTATGATATAACAAACCATCTGTCAACTACCAACTACATCGGTGTCGTTCGACTAGCTATTAATTTTGATTAATGTACTTACCATAATAAACTAAAAGAATACATCAAGTAGAGGCTCACAGAATATTCATCTCATTTGGTTGAGATAGGGTACTAAAAGAAAAGACGTACTGAATCCCAAATTTTCTCAACCTACCATATACATTTTTAAAGGTAATACAATTATCACAAAAGCTACACTTTTTCAAAGGCTAAAAACAACCCTCTGGCTCTGGACCAGAGTCTAAAACCAACTTTATACCAACTTTTTTTTACTATAAATCGAATGATTTGTTTATTCATTTAAAAAATTAAGAACTACTTTTTAAAAGAAATGTGCCTAGTTTACCTTGTTGTTGTTATTTAAGTTGTGGACGATGTTGATGTTATGCCTTCTCGATGATGAACTCTGGGGCTTCTGTTGCCAAATGGACTTGCTAAATAAAATTGTCGAATTAAAAGCAGCCGACGGACGACTTTTTCGCTAAGGATGGGAAAGTTGGAAGGAGAGAAGGAAATTCTTGAGGTTCTTTTTCAATTATTCGACCGCATTCAACCGTATTGGCAAAAACGCGATACAGAGTAAAAAATTACATACTTTTAAAGTTAGAAACTTCATCAACCAAGAGCATCATTAATGATTATGAAGTTCTTATCAAATTTCAAATCGGATTGTATTTGCTGATAAAACGATCAACTGAAAATTTCCCTTTGAGACTAGACATTACTGATTCGTAAGAATTGCTAGAAAAACAAAATTGACTAAATTTTCTAGATGGTTGGCAGGGTGACCGTTCCATGATACAAATCTGAAGTCTTGTCATTAGTTTCTTTATAGATATTCCGTCATATGTAGTTCTCTACCTTACTCTACCATTATTTCGACACAACTGATGAAAAACGGGACAGTACCATCTTATATATTTATAAACATGTAGGACAGATGCCTGATTACTGATGACTCATTCATTTTTCTGAACTTACATTGAATTGCATTGAAATTATTAAAGTCTAATCATTAAAAATTCCATTACGTTCTTTACGCATAATCTACACATGGACAAATGAATTGGCTTCAGCCGAAAGTCATAATTTCTGACTTTTCAGGTCCTCCAAATCACTCGTTCACATTGAGTAGTTTTGATTAAAATACGGTCATTATTGACTTATTGAATTATCTTAAGTTACTCGACCTCATTGAACAGTACTGACTAAAATCAGATCATTATTGACTCATTCACTTCTATAACGTAACTCGAGAACATTTAAAAAAAAATTGATTAAAGTGGGATCATTATTGATTCAATAAGTTCTCTAAAGTTACTCGACATCATTGAACAGTACTGACTAAAATCCGATCATTATTGACTCATTCACTTCTATAACGTTACTCGAGAACATTGAAAAATGTTGATTAAACTGCGATCATTATTGACTCCATTAAGTTGTGTAAAGTTTCTCGCCCACATTGAAAATTATTGATTAATATCCGTTATTATTGACTCATTAATAAATTCTCGAAATAAATTCTAGTTACTCGACCTCATTGAACGGTATTGTTTTGAAATTCAATCATTACTGGCTCGTTACTGCTCTAAAGTTATTCGACCACATTGAAAAGTATTGATTAAAGCCGATCATTATTGACTGATTAAGTTCTCTAAAGTTACTCGATCTCGAATAATACTGATTAAAATCCGATTATTATTGGCTCATTACTTCTCTATAGTTACTCCACCTAATTGAAAAGTATTTATTAACCATTATGGACTCTAAGGATAAAATTTGCACATTGTCGAAAAATTGGCTGAAGTCTGGGCAATAATCCCATTATGTTTTTATACATATTCCCGATCGCATTATCCACTATATATGGAAGCTTATTGGACAGATGAAGTGATAGAAACATATAAATCCTGATCAACAATCATTGAGGCCTTAAAACCCTTCCTCCTGTCTTTTCTTGAATCTGTTATTTTTTTGGTTGCAAATTTTGGTTTACTTTTTATGCCTATTTTATTATAATCCTCACATTATCTAAAAGGAAACGACACTTTTCGACCTCTGATCCGTGCACGTAGATCGACTTAATTTCACATGCAAATTCGTTTCGCCGCCATTCCCTTACAAATTTATGAATTTGTAATCATCCAGGATTGACTTAAATACGTAAAATTACGATAATCAGTTTTGGGAACTACCAAGACAGATTAAAATGAAAACTATATGCCTGATAATTTAATTATTTTTAGTAATGCCAAAGAGAGTGTAGCGACGATATTTTGTCGAAGGATGTCGTTGAAAGACAGCTTATCAACAGACCAACACTGATAAATTTATTTCGTATTTTTTTAATTAATCATCGTACATTTTAACTGTAATAAAAGCAGAACCAAACATAAAACCAGGAGAGATACGATCAAGTTTAAAAATCAGGAGGGCACGGATATGTGTTATTGATCAAAACAGTTCAGGGTGGCGCTCTTAAATAAAATCCAAGTCAAACAAAATTTGAGTTTTATGAAATTTTTAAAATCGACTGTTAGGAAATCCAGAACACTGAAGAAATTATTATAGGTAAACTGTGTGGGACAAACAAAAAGTAATATATGCAGCAGCCTGTATTCGTAAGTAAATAATCTACCCAAAAGCATGTTTTAGTGTATATTAAGATTAGTTTATTATTTTGAAAGTTACTGCCCTATTTTTAATATCAATATTAACAAATTAATCAATTGTATAAATAAAGAGGAAATGGAATTTCTTTCCAATTAATGACAATAATAATTATTACAATACTAATATAAAGTTCTCCAAGAGTTATTACAATGATGCCTCCTTTAGTTTGTTTTGACGAAGTCCTTTCTTAGAAAACAATTACAAGTTTCACCTAGTTTACGTTTAAAAAGTTTTGAACAAACTTCTGTTAAATGTCTGTTTAATCAGCATGGTGTTATTTAAAAAGAGTCTACAACCGGAGGGTGTATTCATTAGAAAAAGGTTTAAAACGACATTACTAGGGCATCGATCGTTAGCTGGGGGGTTTCAGCTCGGCGCTAAAAGAGAATTTTCAAAAATTTGATCTGGGGAGAAAGAATGTATTTCCAAAGTCATATGAATATTTTAATAATAGGTTAAAAACGAAAACAAAAACAATATACAATTTAAAACATTTAACATTCAGTTGTCGGACACCAATCAACACGATCGAGTGTCTCAATAAAACCAGAGAATCGAGACGATAAAATATTCGGTAACGTTTGTCAAATATTTGTTTAAAAAGCATCTTTAATGTCGTTCAACTGTCTCACCGCTAAATCGACGGGCAAGTGGAACTGAAATTGGTTTAATTTTTCTAAACTCGCGAAAGCGTCCTCGAAGCCAGTTTTGACCGTGTAACTCCAGTCGGCGTAGTACAATTCCAGAAGGGGCTGGCATCGGAGTATCAGTCTCAGCCACTGGACCAACATTTTCGAATTCAGGCCGGCGCAGACGAGCGCTTTGAACTGTGAGTCGTAGCTCCTTTTGTAAGGATCGTGCGAGGCGATTATGTTCCCGATCACCCCGAGGAGGCTCTGTTTGGCGGATATGGCGCAACCGCCGACGATGTCCAGATTGAAACTCTGAGACAGCTTCCTCGCCGGTGTGGAATTGAACTTTTCACCGTTTTTCATGTCGTAGAATTTGAGGACGAGCTCCCAGGCGTGCATGTCGCAGGAGCCCGAGGTAGTTTTCACTTTGAAACACATCGTGAACGGGACGACGCTCATGTTGTTGTTGAAGTTGAACAACCCGTGTTGCATGAGGTTTTGTATACCGACGGCAAGGTGCTTCCGGACGACGGTGGCCAACCTGCTCGTCGACTGGGTCGGGTATTCCGAATCCGAGACGTAATCGCTGTCGGCGTACGTCTCCGGCTCTCTGGCCGATTCGACGACGCTCTCTATCGCCATTTCTAGCTGGGCCCTGAGGTCGCCCCAGTGCTTCGTCTTCATCGTTCTCTTTGGCGAGTTCCTCCTGAACTTCTTCGGTGCGTGGAGATGCGCCGAGGCGAAGAGGTGCAGGAGGGCGGTGATCCTCTTGACCGTCGTGATCAGTTTTCCTTTGACGTGTTCGCGATCGTGGTCGGAATGCCCGCCACACCCGGAACAGCGGCAGTCACACTTATTGTTCGAAGCCGGCGCGTCGCCTTGGAGGTACTGGATGAAACGCTCCAGGTCGGCCAACTGGGTCTTCAGCTGGACGACCAGCTGCTCCTTCATCTTCAAGGGAAGAATGACCTCGTCGACCGCGTTGTCCACGTACGTTCTCAGTTCTTCCACAGACATTTTGTCGAAGCCGTCGACGTTGAGGTTAAGCTGGCTTTTTAGCTGGTCGATGATGACCCTCTGCTTTTCGATGACTAGGCTCTGAGGAGGGCCGCCTTCTCCGGCTTCGTAAGCGTACGCTTCCAGATCCGCCAACTGTTTCTTCAGCTGTTCGATCAATTCGGCCTGCTTGGCCCTTTGAGCGTTGAGGGCGTCTTCTATCTCCTTGTCGTTCTCGGTCAAACGATAGTCGAACAGACCGTTTTCCACGTCCGGGATGCCCCTGAACGCGAACTCCACCAGGCTCTTCAAAAGCTTTTCTTTCTCTTCTGGACCCGCTTCGACTATCTGCCTCAGACGGAACTGCACTTGGGCGAAATGAGTGGTCAGCGCGATCAAGGACGAGTTCATCAGCTCGTATTGTTCTTCCAAGTGCTGCAGGCGTTCGTCGTCGACGGAATTCGTCGGAGATTCAAGGCATTCGGGGAAATTCTTTCCCTCCAGCGAATCCACCCTCGCCTCTTCCACGGGATCTTCCATCTCCTGCCTAATATTTTTTGTCTATTTAAAACGGCGATAACGGCCCCTCTGAAAAACGAATATCACTGTTAACAACTGTCCGGGCGCGTTTGATAAAAACGCAAAGCGGCCGAAAACGGCAGTCGAGCGAGACTCGTCTTATCGCCGGGTTTCGAAAGCGCGAGGGGTGTTCGAAGAAAAAACTTCTCATCCCGACGGCCTGTTATTGAAAAGCCGCCGTGAATGTACAAGAAATTCGCTTAACGTTGCCTGTCCCGCCGTCAGAAAAGAGTTTGGGAAATCATCCTTGGGAGCGAGGGCGAGTTGGGAAAGACACGAAATAGAGGGGAACTAAAGAATTCTTTACACCAGGTGAAACCGGTAAAAAAATAACGCAACATAAATCATGTGTTTTAGGCTGGATCAAAAGGGAAATATTTTTTTCCGACACGATATCCAGAACAATATGCAGACGGATTGATCTGTTTCTGTTGTGACGTCAGACTAACCAGTGCTAAAGTCACCCACGCACCGACAAACCCCTTAAAAAGCTGGTGTCGACCATACCGCACAACACGCCTCCGATTTTTTCTTTCATATTTGAAACGATTCGAACGAATTCGACGACTCCCGGTTTCGACCGCTTTGCTTTTATATTTCAGATGTTTACCATTTAATAATGAATAATCCGATGTTCAATATGCGTTTGAACTTGCCTTCATTTCTCAAGGTGCAGACCGGCGGCGAGCAGAGCCGATTTCAGCCAAAAGTCCGACGACCACCATATAAACTTTTAGAACAAATAATTTAAATTTGAACGATTTAGACGGTTGTTATGAAGGGGGTTGAGCAGAACTGGCTCTATCGTGTATTGACCGTGCTGAGCAGCACCTCTGCGCCCCTCTCAAACATACCCCCCCGCCCACGATCAACTTATCAATCCGAACTATAGACGAGAACCTATAGTCGTCGTTTAAAAAATAAAATTACATTAAAAAAATATACAATTGATAATGTCTCAGAGAAACCTGCCACTGGGTGTATTGCTAAATACGAAAACCTTGTCATTGCAAATGAAAAAGGTCAAATTGATCAAGAACTCAAGGATTTCCTTAATTTTCCATTAAATAAGACTGTTAATTGATGTATGCTCTTTAATTCGCGTTATATTTCTCACTTAAATATAAGATTGAATATTCTTACTTTCTATTGTTGTTGGGCTCGTTGAGATTGTTGTCGGCTGATTTTAATCCGAAATGATCCATTATTTATCATCAAAACACAAAATAACAGATTTATTTGTCATAACAACAAATAACACTTGTAACGCACAACTGGAAGACACTTTTCGTGGAAAGGAAATCGTGTGGAACAATCGAGGGAGGGGCTCACTGAACGGGAGGCGGACTCCGCGGAAAGGTAGAATAACGGAATATAGATAAAATTGAGTAGTGATAATAAATTTAGTTTAGATTGTAAGCGGAGTGGCAGCAGCCGGAGGCCGAACCGAGTCGGAGGCAGCTAACAGCAGACTGACAGGCGCACAGCCTCCCCCCACACGGTGCCCACTCTCACTCTCTCTCTTTCTCTTCTCCCCTTCCTTCTACACTCTCTTCTGACTCATGCTAATCATGTTTATACACAAACCCTTGATTCGATTGCGTTTGATTAATCGGGGATTAAATGTAGAATTTTTTCCTTTCTCTATCCTTCTCTACTCCCTCCCCCCCTTTCACCAAACGAAGTATAGGACCTGTGTTGGGATTGTCGTAACAGACGAGGCGGAGAAAGCCGTGGAGAAAACGGGGTGAAAAACCCCCCTTTCCAAATACAAGCCAGTAATTTTCAGGGTCGGGACCGTGAAATCGACTCCAAACAAGAGCTCTTTTGCCAAAAGTTCGCCTCAAAATTGCCATCCCATGCCATCCCAAAACAAAAAGAATCTGGGAAATAATGGACGAAATCACAGAGAAACAACAAAGACTCCTATCACCTGGACAGAAATTTATAAAGGAAGAAGCACGAACATGACATCTTTTTAAAAACATAATTCCTACTCGTAGTTAGCTGAATAATGAATTACATAAATTGTACTGTCAAAGCGGTACAAAACGTTTTTACCAATATCTTGTACACATGAGGCTTGGGATAAATTCGATTATGATACGCGATCAAAAGTTAAATTTACCATTGATAAAAAATCAAAGTATATTGGATAAAAAACTTTTTAAAAAAGTACGGTATACTTAAAAATAAAAATATTCATAAAGGCCAAAAAACCCCAATTAAATTTTACCCAAGGGTTATAAACTTAACGAACATGGTAGTAAAAAAGAAGAAAACAATTTATTAAATAAAGGCTTAAAATTTTCCCACAAATAGAATTAGGTATAAAAAACTACTATCCCTTGGTTCATCGGTAGATTGTTGTAACATAAATACAAATTATTTCAAAATAATTAATTAATTATTCTTTTTATGAAAGGTTTTGATTGAAATGAAAAAGTCAGTGTCACGAGCGGGATTCGAATCCACGACGTCGCTGCTCTACCACTTGAGCTGTCGTGACAATGTTTTATGTTAATCTGTTGTCTATCAATTAATGTTGGGTGATGTAAGCAGATTTGCTTCATAAACCAAGGTAAGCTGATGAATGACAAAGAGAATAAACATTTTTTACTTTTATGAACTCAAATTTAAACATAGAAGTTTCCTTTGCAAAACATTTATTATAAGAACTTTAATAATTTTTTTTTTAAATTTTGCAAAATATATTCTATTTGATATTGAAATTGTCCAAATGTTTGACAATTGAGGGCTTAAAAAAACATATTACTCGCCATAATTGTGTATATTTAAAATCATCGAGCTGGACGAAAAAATCCAGATGTCACATATGAATCACTGACAAATACAGAAAAGAGGACAAACGCACTCCAGAATGAAAAATACAGGACGGTGAAAATTTTGAGAAATTTTACTAACAGTAAATCCCACATGACATACAGACACTGACACAAATAATAAAATATCACAATTCCAGGCCGTTTTCTTTTAAAGGAAGGTCAATTAAAAAAAAAAAAAACCTCGACTCACGATAATTAATCACCGAAGAAGCAGGGCAATGAAATAACAATCTTTAATCATAGAATTATAAATAACAAACAATTCATTTTATGATGTGAAAAAATATAGTGCAGTAAAATACAAAAATCTTTAATTATAACTAAAGTTTTACAGGAAAGATTACTAATTGCACTAATACCTTTAGAATAAAGTCTCATTTATGTAATGAACCTTTTATAGTTTTTTGTAAGAGAGAAAGTCCATTGGACTTTAATACAATGAAAAAGCCTATTTCAGATAACTGATTAATTACAGGTTCAGGAAATTAATAAAAAATACAGACTTATTTCCTCGTGGGGTATTTGAACAATTTCACCTCAAAGAAGGAAACCTTTATTAAAAATAATTCTAACTGATAATGCACGAACATGGAATAAAATATCAGTCAGAATAGCAATTGCTGATTAAGTCCTTTCAAATTCAATTCAAACTTTAAAATAATAAAAACACATGATTTATGTTAATTGGTTGCTGAAAATGCTGGACAACCGCCGCTTGAACAATTCAAAAACATTAAACAATTGAAGTGACAAAAAAATAAAATAATTACAGAACTGTTTTTTCCCTCAACCATTCATTTTACATTCTTGTAACAATTAAATAACGAAAATGCACGAACAAAACAATCTTAGGTTTCAGGAAACAAAGAGTAATTATAGAACCCTATTTTGCCTCAACCGTTTTATTCAAGAAAAAATTAATTAATGAAAATGAACGAACAAAACGAACTGAGCCATAAGAAAAAAATGCAATTATGTCACTTTTTTACCAGTTAATCAGAACTACAGCCTCAATTATTTTTTCTATATTCTTGTCAAAATTAATTAATGAAGATGCCCGAACAAAACAAAGTGACGTTTCAGGAAACAAAAATAAGTAAAGAACCGTTTCTTGCCTCAACTATTCTTTCTATATTCTTGTGAAAATTAATTCATGAAGATTAACGAAGAAACCAAACTGAGGCGTCAGCAAAAAGTGTAATTGTGTCACTGTTTTTTACCAGTTAATCAGAACTTCAGCAACAACTATTTTTTCTACATTCTTGTAAAATTAATTAATGAAGATGCAGGTACATAACAAACCGATGTTTCAGCAAACAAAAACTAAGTAAAGAACCTTTTCTTGCTTCAAATATTCTTTCTGTATTCTTGTGAAAATTAATTCATGAAGATTAATTTTGTCACTGTTTTTTTACCAGTTAACCAGAACTACAGCATGAACTACTTTTTCTACATTCTTGTAAAATTAATTAATGAAGTTGCAGGTATATAACAAAGTGATGTTTCAGCAACCAAATTAAATTAGTTTCTTTCCTCAACCATTTTGCTTTTGTAAAAATTAATTAATGAAGATGCACGAATTAGTAAGTAAAGAACAGTTTCGTATCAAATTTCAGTGAAATCAACTCAGCAATGATTATGTTCAGTATATTTTATAATTATTCGTCTACAAGTATGACCGAAACAGCCACTCATATCATTTTCGAATGCGAAGCAACATCTCAATGGAGATTTAACCTAACATACGGAAAAACTTAGGGAATCAAATTGCAGCAGCGACAGTCAATAACCTGATACTTCTAAGGAGAAGGATTGAGTCTATTGCACTGAACTAAGGAACTAGGAAGGTACAATAAGCCAGAAGGCTGTAGTGCCTGGGGAGCGCAAACCCCGCTTCCTAGTATCCTTTTTTACCATACCATACCATGAACAATTATATACAATATGATCAATTAAAATATAATAAGTAGATTTAAATGAATTGTTTAAAACATTTCATGATAGTGATATTACAGCCCTATAAAATATAGATATATTTATAAATGTCAAGTTCTTTCTTACCCAACACATATTGTTGTGGTTAGTGTTTAAGTACATGATTCATGCTGTAGTGTACATAATTATATCTTGCAATGGCTAACAATCCCTTTTGTTAAAATTTAAATTAAATTGTGAGGTAGGGGTTTACAGAGTGATAAAACACAGCTTAACTTTTTAAATTGCTATAGTTTTTCCAGTTTTGATCTTAATTTTATTTAATTTTTACCATCCGCAAAAGGGATAACGGACAAGATCAGTTCCCCAATCTGAATAGATTGTTTGGCTAATGCCTACTATTGTTCAATATTTTGTTTCGGAATATACCCAAGTGCCCTTTACCCAGCAGAACAATACTGATATCAATTCGTTTGTTTTCAGTCTGAAAGGCAATTCTAATATCCGAGGTAATAAATAATTTGAATCTGTTTCATAATGAAATTTTTTTAACCTATCTATAATATAAATAGTTCTTTTCGAATCTAAAAGAGGAAATAAATTTTCGGGCTGAAGATTTCTGTTTTATTTCATTTCAAAACGAACATATACTTGACTAAAGACAATATGTCTAGGTTTAACAAAATAGTTAAATTATTAACTTAACGAAATATTAGTAGGGTGATGTCCCTGCATTCGTCGACATACATCCTGCGTATCTGAATGTTTTTAGTACAAACTGTACGGTATATTTGAAGGTTTTTTAGTACGTATTATATAGTATAATTGAGGATTTTTATTGCATATAAATTCGGGCTCTAGTTTTGAGTTTTGCGATTTGGCCGCGCCTATTGTCGCTTTGTTTATCTCCAGTCTAAAGGTGAAAAAGGTACAAGGACGTAAAAATATTCGAAACGTGTCAGATGACAAACGGACGAATGTAGACACAATGTGATACATTTTTATAAATAAAAGTGATGTCATGTAGACACGTTGGTTAATGACTTTATTTAATTTGATCACTCGTTTTTCGGTCGATTTACATGGCTTCTTCAGAAATCGAGCTAATTTGTTTTAAAAAATAAAATAAACCGAGATCAATTTTATCGGCTCATTTTTAGCAGAAATTATACTATTTAGCACTTACAGTTTTTAGAAAATTGCCAGTTTGGACAAGGGGTGTTGAATTTGTACGATTCTCTTTATAATCTCAGTCTTGGTAATTATGTCAGAAAGGTTGGAAAGATGCCATAAGTGCATCGTAGAATCTCGTGTAGATGTTATTTCAAAAAAAGCCATTTCTGGTTTTGGTTGGATTTTTTTCTTCTACAAATATCGCCCTTTGTCATTCGGCTTTGAGAATAGGGATCGGGCATTAAATATTAAATCGATAAATTGGGAACGAGGGGAAGCGAGCAGGTGCACAGGCTTCGTCACGACATGCCATCTAAGCACACCCAGTTTGTCTCTGTGCCGAAGCCACCGAAGCTGAAACATAATTAGCGAATATTGTTCCGGGGGGTCTTAAATTGAAGCCCTAATGGTTTTAAGACAGGCTCTTAAATTTCAACGAGGGGGAAGACAATTGGGGACATTGTGTAATGTAAGTATTGCGAGTGGTTTGTAACTTGTTTCTTTAAGTTTTTATCTATTTTATACGTTCAA